TATAATGAGTCCTTGTGTGATGTTAAATACAGGCCAAGTGTTGATTATACAGGACGAAATACAGGTGTTGAGACCACATCAAGATAACAAGAACATAGAAAATACAAAGAAGTGACAATTAAATACATGCAATAATAACTTTCCATCCCAGGAACATAGAGCAATTTGTTGGAGTGATTTGTACACCTCTGTATTTATTAGAAACCTGAGGTGCTTAAGTTCCGGATTTAATGTATCCTCTGCGGGTTTCGAACTCACATGCCTTGGTTTCCCATGTCAAGGTGCTATCAGATGGCCGCATTAACCATTCAGTTACTGAGGCTGCAGTATTATATAGAAAAATAGTATTTAATAAAAAGCTATATAAGTAATCTTATTATTTTATTTAAATAATGAGCTTATAAATTACAGAGTTATTGCAAAAATATTATAAATACTTAATATACTAAGAAAATTAATGAAAATAGTAGTAACTTTTATATATTGAAAAAATAAAAAATAAATTGCTGATTTTTTTGATAAGAAGTGAGTATCTAGTAATTTTATATAGATAATAAGCAGTTACTCTGTTTTTATTTTATAGCTGAAGTAGTGCTGCAGCAGCATTTCACTGATATATAAGAAGAAATTTGCTGACTCTGTATAAAAGCAGAGTTTTTATATTTATTAATCAGATTTTCTATATTATATCTAAGTAATATTATAAAGTGATTGAAAACTGATTTAAATATCTGTAAAATAGATGAGATTATTATCTGAAAGAAAGTAATAAGTTGTGTGAAGCTGTTTTAAAGTCTTGATATTATCAGAGATATAACAGATATTCTTAATCTTTACTTTATATTACTTAGAAAAGTGATACACTCAGTTAATTTTTACTTACATTTTAATGATTTTAAATACAAAATTGTGTAGTATTTAAGATATTACAGAGAAACTGTGATTGAATAACTAATTAATATAAAATAAAAGATTTTATTCTTCAGTATTTATAAGATTTTAATAGTAAGTTAAAATTTTAATATTGACTCTGTTCTGAAGATCTGTTGATTTTTGAATTACTATATTAAGATACTATAATTGATTCTGAATTTCTTTGCAATCTCAGCATATTTAGAAATAAATTGTTAATTCAATTGAGTTATTACTTACTCTATAATTACTTTATTAAGTAATATAGTAGATGATTAAAGTTGAACAGTTGCAGCCTTGTATAGACTGATCACTGAGATTATAAATTTCATATTTAATCTCATTTAATCTGATCTTATACATTTCTTGATGTGAATTCAACTGAGACTAATTATTAAAAAAACATGTAAAGTAACTATATATCAGATCTTAAAATGAGATTATGACTTAGAAAAAATAAGAAAATGATTTCATTTAATTTCATTTAGTCTCATTCTTGATATAAAGTTACTATTTTTAAACATTTTAAGGTTTTTTTTAAACTATTTTTAATTTTTTAAAAAGTAACACTTTTTAATAACACTTAAATAAGATTTAAAGTCATTTAAAATAATAAAAATAATTTAAATTAAGAAGTTAAAATCATAATCTTATTTGAAAAATGTGATAAGAGTAGACAGTAAGTCTCACTGAGACAGTATGAAACTACTATCTAATGTTAAAATCATGTAATGGGATCAGTTGAATTGGTAATGAGACCATCAAATATTCTGGTCCTGGTCCCAGACACAGTCACACGGTCAGTCTAGCCTTGCAGGGATTCATGGAAAAAATAGCAGTTCATAATTGGTCTGTGATTATAAAATCAGTATGATGTGGAATTAAGCCTTTACGCTGAAAAAAACATTGAAAAAAGCCATTTGACACATTTGTCACTATAGACTGCCGTATGTAGCATCAAGATTGCTATATTATTATTGTCCATGTTGTTCACAGTCTTCAGGATGCCGCCTACTTGGTGTCTTAGTTCAGTTAAATTCCCTTTCATGTTGCCTTTGATTGAATGTTTCAGGCGGGGTAGTATTTATTACTTACTGCAAAATGGATCCCGCAAGCATCGCACAGTTGATTGTGCTCTCAGGGGATCTTATCGGCGCGTGTTACATCTACGGCTGTGCTGTTGCTGATGCTCCCGAAGTCCTGCGCAAGCTGGTTGAGGAAACCACCTCGTTGAGCGGCATCTTCGTGGCAATCCAGGGCCTGGTCAACGCGGATAGATTTGCAGCCAGCCAACGGGAGGCGCTGTCCACTTGCCTGAGAGAATGCCAGGTCACCCTCGGGGAACTGAAGGATACTCTACAATCCATACATCCCGGCCCAAAGAGGAAGAAGATGGCGGTCGTGAAGAGACTCCTCTGGCCGCTGAAACAAGCGGAAACTACGAGGATTCTGGATACCTTAGGCCGACATAAGAGCTCGCTGAACTTGCTGCTCGCGCTCGAAGCCACCTTGGAGTCCCAGCAAACACAGATTGTCTTGTATGAACTCCAGCAGGCACTGCAGGATGATAGAGAGCAACGCAAGGAACGTGAAATTATGCTGCGCTGGAGACAAGTCAATCAGTGGCTCTGCGGCATTGACTACGAGGCCACGCATGAGCGCGCTTATGCAGAGCACTCATCGGGGACTGGAGCTTGGGTTTTGAACAGTAAGCAGCTGCAGTGCTGGCTTTCCGGAGACCAGCGTCTTTTATGGATTCATGGAATTCCAGGATCTGGCAAAACAGTATTGATGAGCACGATCTTGAACCAGTGTCTTCTACCAAATGCCTCTGAGAAAAGAGTCGTTGCTTACTATTACTGTGACTTTCGGAACCATGAGAGCTGTCGCCCGGAATCCGTTATCGGGGCCATCATCCTCCAAATCTGCCAGGTTCTAACTTCCATGCCCTCGCATGTAGAGGACTCATATGAACGACACATTGGGAAGGATGGCAAGGCCGCACCGCCAAGTATCCAGGAATTGCAGCTCCTGCTGAGCGAAGTCCTGCCTCTAGTGTCCAATGTCACAATTACTGTGGATGCCCTGGATGAATGCTACGAGAGGGAAACGCTAGTCAAAATCCTCAGAGACCTATCCTCCAAGGCCTCCACAGCGGTGAAAGTTTTAGTCTCCAGCCGTAGGGAGGTTGACATTGTCCGACTCTTGAAGGACCAGTCGAGCATTTCTACGCAGAGCAAGGATGCCGATGAAGATATCCATCAATATATCCGTGCCAACATGCAGCTTAGGCCACGGCTACAGAAACTCAGTCAGCCGGTTCAGGAACACATAGTGGAAACACTGACCAAGGGCGCTGGCGGAATGTATGTCAATTCAAGAATAAAACTATATATACTCTATAGCAAAATTTCAAACTTGCAAACTAGACATGACTCCCCTGCTTTTTCTTTTTCTAACGAGAATCCTGCGCTCCAGGTTTCGTTGGGTGAAATGTCAACTCGACGAACTCAGCCGCCTCAGAACCAATAGCTCCATCAAATTCGCCCTCCGCGGTCTTCCCCGCGATCTCGACGAGACCTATGAGCGAATCCTCAGCCGCATCTCCGAACCCGACATCCCCCTCGCACGACAAGCTCTCCTCTGGCTCGCCTACTCCAGCCGTCCCCTCACCCTCACAGAACTGGCAGAAGGCGCCGTCCTTCAACCCAATATCACCACTCTAGACCCAGAAGACAGACTCCGTGACCCGGAAGACATCCTGGAAGCCTGCGGCTCCCTTGTCTCTATCGACGGGCCGCATGTCATCCTCGCCCATAACTCCGTACGGGACTATCTCCTCTCACCCCGCGCCGCCACCAACCTACCAACCTTCCACCTCCCAGAATCACAATGCCTCCCCGAACTCGCCACGCTCTGCCTCACCTACCTAATGCTCTCCCCCTTTAGCACCGGACCCTGCGCAACCCCCGAGGAAATGACCTCCCGCCTCACAAACTGGCCTCTCCTCCAATACATCTCACATAACTGGGCAGACCACACCCGCCCCTACCTCAACGCATCACAAAACCCGACCCTCCACACCCTAGCCACAACCCTCTTCGCAGACCCCGCAACCCCCAACTTCCTCTCCTGGGTGCAGGCCCTCTTCATCCGCCCGCACCGCATGGGGCGGACATACAACCTGTATCCACGCACCGGCACGCCGCTCTACTACGCTACCTCCTTCGCACTGACGCCCGTAGTCGAACACCTGCTCGCGCGTGGCAGCGACGTCAATGCGCCGGGGGGCCGTGTGGGCGGGACGCCGCTGCATGCCGCCTGCTGGCGCACACAGGTCGACGTGATACGGCTGCTGCTGCGGGCTGGTGCCAGGTTGGATGTGCAGGATAGGAACGGGGAGACGCCGGTGGATATGGCGGAGTCTGCGATGGGGGCGGGGAATGGGGGGGTTGCGAGGGTGTTTTTGGAGGAGAGCGGAATTGTTTTGGAGGATCGTGGTAATGGTAGTAGTAGCGGTAAGGGTGGTGCGAGTGGTTTGCGCGCGAGTGTTAATGGGGGGAATGCACCGAAGTATAAGGTTATGTGGAAGCCGAGAGTTATTCGATGATGGATGGAGTATATATATATATATATATAACTATATAATATGGGAGGAGTGAGCAGACATGTATTATGAGAGACAACGTTTTACCTTTCTTTTTTCTCTTTGCTCTTCAGATTTACGTTAAGAACGATGTATATACCACCACACGCAGCAGTCTGAGATACAATACCCAATATCATCTCCTACGCTGGTTAACAAGTTTTCAAAACTTATCATACGTGTACAAGTTTCTTGTGAACTGGCGATTGTGTGCTTCCCATTTTCTTTTATTTCCTTGTAATTTTCCCCCTCATCTTCTTCCATATCTCTTACCTGGCCAACTACACAATCCACAGTGGGATCTGGCATGCAAACATACTCTACGATGCAGAGAGGTTGAAAACTCGATATTTTTTCTATCGGAGATTTAACTACCTGTTGACTGCGGGCGTTGATATTGAAAAATGCCCTGAGCTACTGTATGATGAGCAGATGCTGTGGATGAGATTCTTAATTTCAAAGCTTGTAGATGTAGATTGCGTGTTTGAGCTTCTAGAGAAATATATAAATTTCCGACGTCATTCTTGCCCAGCTTTGAATTGTTGAACTTCCTCACTATTTCTGCTCCAACACCAACACCCACCTCACACCATCAACACAACCCGTCCTGTGTGCAGCTCAATGCTTTGAACTTACCAGAAAGCTGTAACCATGTTTTCTGCTAGAGTCACTCTGCGCACGGCAAGCCAACTGAGGCCTCTCCGCGCTGTTTCCGCCTCCAATACCTCGTTCAGACTCCCGCTCGACCGCCGACGGTATATCTCCGCCTACGGCTACACCCAGGCCAAAGCCCTGGTCTACGGCAACTATGGCGAACCCAAGGATGTCCTAAGGTTGGCTATCTATCTATCTCCCTTTCCAGAATGTCTTATGCCCGAACCCAGCTGCTAACGGCTTCCCCCAACCCAACAGCCTACACGCCCACTCCATTTCCCCCCCACACCACTCCCAGGTCAATGTCCGCCTCCTCGCCGCACCCCTCAACCCAGCCGACATCAACCAAATCCAAGGCGTCTACCCTTCAAAACCCACCTTCACCACCACACTCGGCACCAGCACCCCGTCCGCCGTCGGCGGCAACGAAGCCGCCTTCGAAGTCATCTCGACAGGGTCCGGCGTCAAATCCCTTACAAAGGGCGACTGGGTAATCATGAAGCGAACAGGCATGGGCACCTGGCGCACGCACGCCCAATTCGACGAGGCATCCCTCATCAAGATCGAAGACCGCTCCAACCTGACCCCGATCCAAGTCGGCACTGTCGGCGTCAACCCCGTCACCGCCTACCGGATGCTGCGCGACTTCTGCGCGTGGGACTGGATCAGCAGGCCCGGCGAGGAATGGGTGATCCAGAACGGCGCCAACTCCGGCGTCGGGCGCGCCGTCATCCAGCTCGCGCGCGAATGGGGCATCAAGACCCTCAACGTCATCCGCGAGCGCGACACCCCCGCCGAGACGGAGGCGCTGAAAAACGACCTGCTCGCCCTCGGCGCCACGGCCGTCGTCACAGAGGCCCAGCTCCTCTCGTCCAAGACGTTCCGCGAGATCGTGCACGAGGCCACACGGCAGGGTAAGGAGCCGATCCGGCTCGCGCTGAATTGCGTGGGCGGGCCCAGCGCGACGGCGATGCTGAAGGTGCTGGCGCCTGAGTCGTGCATGGTTACGTACGGGGCCATGGCGAAGCAGCCGCTGACGCTGCCGTCGGGTCTGTTGATTTTCAAGAACCTGGCCCTCAATGGGTTTTGGGTGTCCAAGTGGAGCGATAAGAATCCGGCGCTGAAGACGGAGACGGTTAATGATATTCTGAGGCTGACGAGGGCGGGGAGGTTTAAGGATATTCCTGTCCAGGAGGTGAAGTGGGGGTGGGAGACGGAGGCGGCGGAGTTGGCGGCGGAGGTACAGGGGACGTTGAGTGGGAGGAGGAGCGGGAAGGGCGTGTTTGTGTATGAGGGGGATTAAGTGGGAGGAAGGCTGTTCTTTACACCTTGGTGTTTGTTTCTATACTTTTGTAAATTTTTATGTGGATTGTATATAATAAATACATGAAGAAAATGCACGAGTCTGTTACTAGCTAGCTATCTTCTATAGTCCGGAATGAAGGCCAAATAGAGGAACAGAAACCAGTGTGGAAAGAAAGTGCAGCCATGGACACACGCCTATCCATTCTCTCTCTAATAGAACCCGCTCTTTGCAATCATAAAGTTCTGTATCTGTAAACCAAACTATATTATGGGGCTAAAGAATCCCAAAACGGCCGAACTATATCAATCGTACCTAAGATGCCATAAATCCAACATGAACATGTATATATATATCTCTATCTTCCCAAAACGAAACATAACCATGAATACTAACTAAAAAACGCTGGGCAACCCCGAAACCCCCAACCAAAAAAAGAGCCCAAAACATTAAAAGATATCTTCATTTCTTCCTACTTACCAACCCTACGCCTCCCCCTCCTTACTTACACTTCCAATTCTCCTCCACCCACCGAACAATAATAGTCGTCAACGTCTCCCCCGCCAAAATAACCTCTGTATCCCTCCGAATATCAATGGCATGGCCCACGTACTGAAACGCCAGATCCATCCATGGCTCAATGAAGTCGACGTAGACGAGGTCGACGGTTTCTGGGTCTGCCGTGTGGGCTTTTACGTCTGTGGATGTGGACCAGGATGGGGATGAGGACGGGGATGAGGATGCGGAGGGGGGGATAAGAGCTGAGAAGCAGTTCGGCATGCGGTAGAAGTTTATGGGGGAGTGGATTGTGTCGTCGCCGTCGTCGCCGGCGTCGTCTTTGGTGGTGTAGCCCGGGATGTCGGTGAGGATTGGTTTCTTGTTGTCATCATCGTCATCATTGTCATCGTCGTCTCTAGGCGAGGAGAGTGGGATTTGACCTGGCGCAGATAGCTGGATTTTTCCTGCGTGGTGCCGGCCGTTCCCGTCGTCGTTGACGATGACATCATGAGCTATCCTCTGCTGCTCGGGAGGGGAGAGGAACGAGGATGCCGACACGGTCGACTGCGGCATGGCTGCGAGGATTTTCATCTGCCGATTTAGGACCTCCAGGACCTGCTTCGCTTTGCTATACGGCACGTCCTTGGCGTAGCGGAAGCCGGATATGAAGGGCGATAGGATGTAGGCCGAATCTTGCGTGAAGGGGCCCTTGAAGATATCGAAGCGGAGCGCACCGGTGTTTACGATTGCCATACCGGTCTTGTTAGCGCGTAGTGCTGGACGAAAGCTGTCCGGCAAAACCTGCGTCTCTAGCCAGGTATATATACTTTCGTTGTGCGGGTATGGCACGCGCGACATCCACAGGTCGTTGGGCGAGCAGCCGTAGATGTGGTCGAGGTTTAGGGCGTGGCGAGCCTCTTCGATCATTTTGGAGACATTCTTGCCATGTTCTGTGGGGAAGGTGGTTTCGTTGAGGCCGGTATGGTGGTAGAAGGACCAGAGGTTATTATCAATGTATTTGCGGGTGAAGGATGGGGTGGCTGCGGCGGACGGTGACTTCTTGTTTCCTGTGGATAAGCCGCTGATGGAAGCGAAGCCGATTGTTTCCATGAACCGGCCACTGGCCATTCCATATGCCTTCTCGTCGTACTTGATATAGTCTCGGATATGGTGATGGCCTCCGAAGAACTGGATCGGGGTGTCCCAATGCATGCCACGGATCGCTTTGTAGATGGCTAAGAATTCCTTCGATTCGGCAGGAACATGTCCAATGACGAGGAAGAGGTCGACCTCTTTGTCGCGAATGGCGTCTTGGAACCATTGTTCCTTGACGGTGTCTTCCACGGGTTGTACGACGGTATTATTATAGTTTTGTTTGAAATCGAATAAGAAGCCAAACGCTATGATGCGTATGCCCTGCTTTTCTGTGGTGAACTTCCTGAAACGCGGGGCGAGGGGGACGCGCTCTCCCGAGTGGGGATTCGTGATATCGATATTAGAGGCGAGATAGTTGCCTTTAAAATTGGGGACTGTGATTAGGTACTCATCTACGGATGAGTTCTTTTGATACAGCTCATGGTTGCCGGAGCAGATGACGTCGATACGTTGTTGCTTGAAGATGTCCGCGGTATAGAGTCCCTTTGGCTCCGAGCTGTCGTAGAGACCGTTTCCTTCTATCCTGTCGCCGGTGTCTATGAGCAGTAAATCATGTCCCTCGGCTTCGACTTTTTCACGTATATGATTGGCGAATGAGATGTAGTCTCCCCAGTCGGCGGCGTATGAAGCTCTGTTTTTTGAAGGTCAACAATCAGCCAACGTGTATCCTCGTTGGGTAGCAAGGGGTACTACTCGTCCTACTCTCGAAGATGACCAGCAAGCCAGCCATGTGTATCAGTTGTATGGAGGAAATTAAGCTGGCCAAAGGTGAGATTCCTCATCGGGGCCGGAATGGGGTTGGGAGCGGCGGGTTGCGCCGACAGGGCGGAGCCGGAGAGCCCCAGCAGGGCCAAGAATAGCGAGTGCATGACTGCTCGTGTAAGTAGCTAAGACTATAATGACATAACTGAATATTTCTAACTATATATTAGATACAATAAACGAGCTTTGCTGTCTGTACTCCGTATATGTACTCGATGTGGTTAGATAGAGATCTGATATCTGATATACTTCCGTACAGAATATTTCTGGTAGTTAGGGTTGTTGCGGCTGATGTCACCCCCACGAATGGAACTGTTTTGGGTCGGCCGTTAGCCGGAACAGGGAACTTAAGATGACTAATCGCCAGCAGTGGATCCAGATCTCCGCTTCTGACTGCTGGATCTGTTCCTTGCTGTGGGGCGGCTGCCCGTTTTATTGCCTAATCCGGATAGTGTCTCCACCCAAACCGGCAACCCGATCGATTTTGTTGAGCAGCTCATGTGACTTTTCCTGAGTCTGCTGAGTCAGCCCAACAAGTCGCAGCGCCAAGCCCACCCAAATCCGGAAATATGCAACTTCTCATTTCTCACCACCGCGGTCTTGGAAGAGGCGTTCTCTCTTGCGCTTCAATTCTCAATTCTCTTGCTCTCTCTCGTGGTTTTGGTCTCTCTGACTTGCAGGTAGCTAGCTGGGTTTAACTGCTTTTTATTTTATCTTCCACTGCCCCCAATGGCTGCCCCAAGACTACTCAGACCAGCTTCACGCTTGGTATCCACACGCTTCTGCTCCGCTCCCCTCCGAGCTGCCTTTAGACCAGCAGTATGCCCTCCTCCAGTTTTCCAACGACGCGCATATGCTACCCCAAGCGGAACCAAAGAGGTTACAGTCAGAGAAGCTCTCAATGATGCCCTTGCAGAGGAGCTCACCCTCAATGACAAGGTGTTTATCCTGGGTGAGGAGGTTGCGCAGTATAACGGAGCGTGAGTAGCTATTCTCTCTTTTTCTTCCCCATATATATATATATATAAATGTATGATATTACAGCAATGCTAACTTCTTTCCCAATTCAGATACAAGGTAACGAAGGGCCTGCTGGACCGATTCGGACCCAGAAGAGTCATCGATACCCCCATCACAGAAGCAGGATTCTGCGGCTTGGCCGTCGGAGCTGCCCTAGCTGAACTACACCCTGTGGTGAGTGCCACAGAACCTGAATATCTATGTATGAGTGGGAAAAACGTATGCTGATGCTTGGTGTGATTGATCTAGTGCGAATTCATGACCTTCAACTTCGCCATGCAGGCAATCGACCAGATCGTAAACTCCGCAGCCAAAACACATTATATGTCCGGCGGCATTCAGCCATGTAATATCACTTTCAGAGGACCCAACGGCTTTGCCGCTGGTGTCGCTGCCCAACACTCCCAGGATTATTCCGCCTGGTACGGATCGATCCCCGGCCTCAAGGTGCTCACCCCATGGAGTGCCGAAGATGCAAAGGGACTCCTCAAGGCTGCAATCCGCGACCCTAACCCGGTTGTATTCCTCGAAAACGAGTGAGTATACCCAGAGATAACCTGCCTCGTGTGCAATATGCATGAGGAAATTGTACATATAAAGGACCAAAGTTTAAACTAATCAACCTCACTCCCTCAGACTCATGTACGGCGAGTCCTTCCCCATGAGCGAAGCCGCGCAAAAAGACGACTTCGTCCTCCCCATCGGCAAAGCCAAGATTGAGCGCGTCGGCAAAGACCTGACCATTGTCTCCCTCTCCCGTTGCGTCGGCCAAGCCATGCGCGCCTCCGCAGAACTGAAACAGAAATACGGCGTCGAGGCGGAAGTGATCAACCTGCGTTCCATCAAGCCCCTCGACATCGACACCATCATCAAGTCCGTGAAGAAGACCGGCCACCTGATGGCAGTCGAATCCGGCTTCCCCATGTTCGGCGTTGGTTCTGAAATCCTTGCGCTGTCGATGGAGTATGCGTTCGATTATCTCCAGGCGCCCGCTGTCCGGGTTACCGGTGCCGAAGTGCCAACACCGTACGCGTTCAAGCTGGAGCAGATGAGTTTCCCGCAGGACGATACAATTGTCACGCATGCTGCTAAGTTGCTGCGGGTATAAAGAGGAATTGAGGAAGAAAAGTAGTTGAATTATCCTGTATACCCTCCGTTATGAGCGCTTCTATCCTATAGCAAGTCAAATCTTGTATTTTTATTTTTCGCTGATTTTCTCCATCTCTGTTAATCATTTTTCTGGACTACTCCTTGAATTACAACAGCATGGGACCAAAAAGAAGAGCAAAGGAAAAAGAAAGGGGGATATAAAAAACAAAAGGAATTGGAGAAGATCGTCCATCTCCGTTTTTATTTTAATCTATTAAGCATCTGTCTTGTGCGTTTACCATATAACACCTTTTATTACCGCCAACCAACTGTCACCCTATCCTCGAACCCTTTTGAATTTACATGCATCTCTTACTTCTGTCCCGCTCCCTGTTTTTTAATGTTTAGTTTATCCGCTTGTTCCCTTCCTTCTTGCCCGTTTGTTCTCAAGACTTCCTCTTTCCATCTTTCCCTTTCTTGAAAATTTCCGGTTCTGTTGTATGATTAGTTAGCTTGAATTAACTCGCTCCAAAACCACCAGTCACTTCAATTGTATGTACATGTACAATGTACCTCCTCAAAACACTTCTCGCATCTTACTTTTCCCGCAGACAGATATATTCGTGATAAAGTGTAATTTCTCCCTATAGAATGCAGGTAATACTGACAAAAGTAGAACGTTAGAGATTCACCGTGTAACACAACAAGTCATCTAGTTATACCTAGAAGAAAATACACATGCATCCAAGAAAACAAAACAAAATAATTCCTCCTAGCTTCACCCATCCCAAACCACCCTCCTAAATGTAAAACATCGAATCCCTCACCAACTCATGGATCCTCACCTCACTTACCCTAGCCTCCTGCTGATCATTCCCTCCATCCCCCTCCCCCCCCTGCGGCATAGCCGTAGACAACTTCGCCAACCCCACCTCCAAACTCGACATAGATCGACCACCCCCCGCCACAGACCCTGCTGCTACAGACCCCGCCGCCGACCCCGCCTCAAACAACCTACTCAAATAACACCTAGCCCTCGTACAGACCAGATCCGCATAATACGCCGGCGGACACACGCTCACCGACTTCGTCGCGCGCCCGAACAGATAGCACATATTATGAGTCAGCGCCTCGACCGCATCCGCCACGTTCGCCCCGATGCCACCCGTCAGTCTGGCCAGGGACGGCTTGACGACGCTGGAGCGGAAGATCTCGTCGTAGACGAGGTAGTAGTGGCCCGGGCGGGCGGTGCCGTGCAGCGCGGTGTGGGCCTGCAGGAAGAAGTCCCAGTTGCGGGCGTCGGTGACGGCGCGGTCGACGACGGTGCCGTTGCGCGGGTTGAAGGAGCGGTCGGCGGCGGCGGGCGCGGAGGCGAAGAAGCGCGTGTTGTGCCGCTTGCCGACGATGATGATCGAGAGGCGCGGGAGGCCTCTGCGTGTCTGCTGCGCCGGGTATAGGGAGCGGCAGGCCTTTTGGAGCAGGGGCAGTTCCTCGTTCAGGACGGTGTTGTACTGCCCCTCTGAGACGCCGTCGCGGTACACGAGGATGTTTTCCGGGTAGGCGGTGCGGTGGTGTTTGGCCCAGAGCCGCAGGCGGGATTTGAGGAGCTCGTCGAGCCCCGAGACCATTTCCTGGCGGGAGGGTTGAATGCGGACATCTGCGGGCCATTGGGTGAGGTCTTGGTCGATGGAGGCGACGATTGCGGCGATGCTGGGGGCGTTGGAGGAGGAGCCGGGGGACGGGTGGGTGACATCGAGGCCGACGACCATGGTCTTACCCTCGGATATGAAGCCGAGCTTGGACGGGTCGAGAGTGTGGTTGGTGCCGCCGAGTTTGAGGTTGAATTTGAGAGCGACGTTGCTGAAGTACTGGCAGTTCCTTTCTTTGGCGAATTTGCCGGCGACGACGCAGATGCTATGCACGCCCCATTTGACATCGCAGAGGTACTTGATGCGGCTGTAGATGCTGCTGACAACAGGGAGGATGAAGAAAATAAGTTGGAGCGAAGGTTTAAATTGTAACACACTGGCAATATGCTCTTCGATCGATCGTTCAAAGTCGTCAGGGCATATGTGAATCAGGGGTTGGTCAACAGTCATGCCCAATTGTTTTAACTGTCTAATGAATGGATCCAATGCCTGGCTCGAAAGCGTTTCAGCATCTGGCCAAGGTAGACTAGTATCGCGTTTCTGAATCCAGAGACATGCCCAGTTCTTCAGGGGTTTTGCAACTGAGAATTGATTACGTTGCAAATTCCAGCTGCCAGAATTCGGATTCGTGGGTGGCCGAGCATCCCTCCCTACCGATTTATATCTGACCTGTGGGCCCTGCAAGACTCGTCCAGGCACTGTAATTAATCCCGGCTGCACTGCAAGTCCAAATCCAGCCTGATAGATATTATTATGTTAGTAAGGGTTGCGTGAATATCTCAGTATATAAGACAGAAAAAAAGAAAAAAAGAAAAAGAAAAAGAAAAAAGAAAAAGAAAAAGAAACTAGGAACACACTTACCAAAGTAGAGTTCGCAGGCTGAGAAGCGCCTAAGATCTGTGCTCCTTTTGTATTTATCGACTTCGCATTTAGCGCAGGGCGGCGGACCGCAAACTTGATCATCTGCTGGGTTTGGGTCGTGCTTAGAGTCATATTGGGAGCCTGCCCAGGCAATACAATGCACACGTCAGGGGGCAAATATATCGGACGCTCCCGGCTTCCGATATTGACGACGGGAAGATCGGGATTTTCCAGAGTAATTTTGCGAACTATAGAATCAAGAAATATCAGTTTCTGATTCCTGCTTTTTCTCGGAGGTTAGATTTACTCACTGTCCCTGAAAAATTCAAATACGCTCACGTAGGCGCCAGCTGTACTAGAAGTATTTGCGCCCAACATTTCATCATCAGCATTGGGCTCTTTGTAAAACGTCACATCCTTCGGTCCGGCACCAACTCTCTGCACTCTTGGTTTGTTTTTCATTCCGCGGCCATCATCAATAGTGGCCACGCCTAGAATAGTCTTTATGGGTAGGACTTCGCGCCCATCACTACCAACTTTTTTCATATGCGTTAACTGCACGCGGACCGATTTTAGGAACCTGTCCAGCTTTCCCATACTGTGTCCGTAACTCTGGAAGAAACTCATCATCACCCGAGGCAATGGACCTTCTGCAAACACCGCAACGTTGCTGATTTGAACGTTCAGAAGAATGCGTGCAGTGGCTGCACGGACGCTGCCAAAGAATCCCCGTAGCACCTCTAGTCCGCCGGTCAAGTCCCATTTTTCAACGTCAGGGGGTTTTATAAAGAAATGCTTGTTTGTACCGACATTGGCGATATGTTCTGAGTCTTTGGGGTAGTATCCCATAACGACGTTCAGTGCCTGGATGACCTCTTCCTTGCCGCCGAATACAGCATTTGCACTGGTAGAAGAAAGGTAGTCCACCAGTGCACTAACTTGCAGAGTACCAGTGCGAGTAACTTTGAGAGTGTACATTCTGGCATTTGGAGCGGGCTCTAGCTCATCCTCGGCTTGGTACGTGACTATATAAGGCAACTTTTGAAGAGGTTCGAGTTCCACGCTGCTGATGATGGTGGACTTAAAGTCACTGGCGATCTTGTCGCTGAGCTTATAAAACTCCTGATCCAGGAACAGGCGGATGATCTGTTTCGCTTTTCTGCCGATGGGGAGTCTTCCCCTTTCATCCGGATCTAGAATGATTTTATAGCGGTAGAGAGAAAGATCCTGCTTCACGGCCAACTCGAAATAGTTTGCGTATAGGGTGACTTTATTCCCTTGAGTTCCGAAGGTTGGACGCTGGGGCAGTTTGGGCTCCTTGGATGTCGAACTCAAGGCTAGAACGGCAGTGTTGACATGATTTTCGACGCTCTGAACCGTACTATTTGGTTGGGGGACATGACTTTGATATCTGAGGAGTGATTCATGTCATTAGCTCTAACCCGTCAACTCGCCTTGTAGGAAATGGAAAATAGTAGTTACGAGAAGATTTCCAGATCGGAGAACCCAGCACAACTTATGGCGCTTGCTTGGGCGGCGTCTCCACTCGCGACGCCTTCTCTCCTATTACGAGGGGTGTCAGGAGTCTGTCCAAATATAGGATGTCTTTGCCCACCCCCATCCCGGCCCCCGCGGCCACCTCCACCACCACCGCGGTCAACTCGCGCTGATCCTCGACCTTTCCTCTGTGGCTTTCCTGACATCTCTCTCTCTCTCTCTCTCTCACTCTCTCTCACACACACACACACGCACACAGAGTAAATCGACACAATTGTAGAAAATAGGGATTCAAGATCGGTAGACGTAAAACAAGTGTAAGGGGTATCAAATAAGCCGTCAGAGATTCATGATAATCATTATATGATGTATCCAACCAAACGCACACACTTGTAGATGAGTGCTGAAGAGCAAGACATAGCATGATGCAGACGGCGAGGAGGCGGGAACAGCCGCCAAATATATATATACAAGAGTGCGTACGCAATGAACAGACGGTTCGGGTTTGTGCAAACGGGAGTACCAAGGGGATATGCAGGCCATGTCGAAGGGGTTTCCAGGATTCAAGGCTTCAAGCCTTCATTGAATGGAGTTGCTTGTTTCCCAACGGCCCTCCCTCTAGGGCTGTCGCAATTTTCCCTAGTCCCCCGTATCCTGAATGCACGATTTTGCCATGCAGACTTCTTCCTTTTGATGTTAGATTGTTCCATTTGGTTGTAGCCGAGAACGAGAACGAGAACGGGGGTAAGATCCCTTGTAGAGCTTGAATGAAGGAAAGAAAACGGAGGACATAAAAAGGGAATAAGCAGAAATTGAACATGTCCAAGAACAATCAGCAGCAGCAACAAGCATGGAAGAGCTAAATAAATGTAAAACGGTAGAAATAATTATTTCCCCTTCAGAAATTACCAAAGAAAGGGTATTTAACTACTGATTGACAAGCTTGAAAGCAGCCACGAAACGGTGAGTTATTTTTTAAATAATGGGTGTTTGTTTGTTCGTGGGGAAAGGGAAATGGAAATGTCATATTTAAATAAATATTTAAAACATTTCCAAGCTTCTGTCATCTATTTTCCTTCTTCGTGTGCTTGTACAGAGTACTGTAGTTAACTACCACCATTGATTGATGACTGCTGTTGTTGATCTTATGAGATGATCATCCATTATTTGAATAACTAAATATTGCCTGAAATAAGATCATTCAACTTGTGAATGCTTCCTATAAATAATAAATAATTGCATATTTAATCACAAGCACTTACTATTTATTTGCCGCTTGCCTCGATGTTCCTCTTATCACCCAGGAAGTTAACATATATATATATATATATATATATTGGCCTCCTTTCTTTGACTTGCTTGCTTGCTTGCCAGCTCAGCTATTTTTTTTTTTTTTTTTTTTTTTTTTTTTTTTTTTTTTTTTTTTTTTTGATGATGTGTTAACACAAAACCCAGTTAAGTGGTGATACAGGCTGTATAGGTATATAAAAAATAATATATCTTCCAGCTTCAATTCGAGCAACTGTTGTTGATAATAATGAATGAGAGGTGTGCGCCTTGCTGATATTTATTATTTATCAAAAGGAAGGAAAGCTAGCTGTTCATTCAGCAGCAAAAAATATGTACTGTACTGTACATCCATTAGTTATATGGAAGCACTCCATTGCTTTGCTAACTACTTTGTTTGTTACAATAGTATTAAATACATACATACAACTGACTAACGTAGCTGGACGGAAGAAGAAGAAAAAAAAAAAAAAAAAAAAGAAAAGAAAGGTAAAGAACAAGTATCATTAGCAGCCCAGCTTCCCCTGGGATATACATATTACCTCCCCCACCACCACCACCACCACCACCACCACCTCAAGGAATTACTATTATCTTAAGAAAATATAGTAAATGAGAGAGAGAGAGAGAGAACAATATAAACTCAAGCAACAAGTAAACAAGAAACAAGAAAACAGCTCGCGACAAAAGACAAACACAACAACCATGCCATAAAAGCACCAGTTAAAGGAAAAGAAAAATCAAAAATCAAAAATCAAAAACCTCCCCTCCTCCCCTTCTCCCCCCTAATTACCTACGCTGTAATTCTTCTCATCCTTCAACTGCAAACGAAATCCTCATCCCACTACCACCATCACCACCATCGTCACCACCAGCAACACCTTCACCCCCTTCCCCATCCCAACGTCCATCTCCATCTCCATCTCCATCTCCATCTCCATCTCCATTCCCATTCCCATTCCCATTCCCATTCCCATGCACCTGCACCTGCATCTGCATCTGCATCTGCATCCCCCTCCCCACCCTCCCCAACTCCTCCGCAACCCCCTCAATCTCGCCAATCTTCCCCACCACGGCCTCACACCCCCTCTGCATCCCCATCTCCTCCAGCTGAAACGGCGGGATGAATTTCAAACTCGCCTTCCACAGCCCGTCGAATAGCGTCGCCAGCTCTACCGTGCGCGTCTTGAGCGCCGTGGAGACTTGCGTTGCTGCTGCTGCTATTGTTGATGGTGATGGTGGTGTAGCGGTAGGACCTTCCCCATCACCATCATCGCCATGGTGGGTTCCTAGGAGGGATGATAATGGTGAGGTTGGATCCGCCTGCCCGGTTCCGTCCTGCTCCTGCTCCTGCTTCTCAACTCCCTGCACACCCACACCCACACCCACCTCCGCCGCAGCCGCAGCCGCAGCCGCAGCCGCAGCCTCTGCCTCCCTCTCCTCCATCCGCCGCCTCATCTCCTCCATCTCCGCCTCCATCTCCACCATCCGATTGCGCATCTCCGCAATGGTCCGCAACTGCTCCCTGTCGCGAAGAGAGAGGGCATCGGCCCGCTCGCGCTCGGCCGGACAGGCCTTGGCGAGGTGGTAGATGTAAGTCCAGTCGGTGAGGTTGAGGCGGTCGAAGCGGATCTTGGAGCCGAATTCGCTGGTGGAGGTTGGTGCTGTAACTGTAGCTGTGGCCGGCGCTGAGGTTGGCGCTGGTGCTGGAGTTGTTGATGATGGGTGGGTATGTGCCTGTGCATGTGGGTGGGTGTGCGATGGCGTAGAGGCGGGTTTACGAGTACGGTTAACGGTGGTTATGGTGGTAGTAGTGGTGGGATATGCGGGTGTAGACGGCGTGGCAGGGCGCGATGACGTGCTAATGCGCGGGCGCTTGGCTGGGCGTGCCCCTGATCTGGTCCCTGTGGAAACAGGTGTGGGCCCCGCGCCTCTGCGCCCTGATGGGGTTGACGTAGGTTTTGGTTTTGGTTTCGGCTTGCTGGCTAGGGTGTGTGATGCGCTCTAGGAAGACAGGTGAGTATATATCATGTACTCATGTACATGTATATGTATATGTACATTATAGGGAAGTGGAGCGCCAGCGACTCACAGCGATATCAGGGCCTGCAGAGGTATTCTCAGTCTGATACATGATATCACCACCCTCACTATCAGTGTCGGAGTCATCCACTTCGCTTTCACCGTAGAACTTCTCACGTGTATGCCCGGGCTTGCGGCTCCGGGGCTGCATGTTGTTTGGAAGATGGGCGGGAGAGATATTTTGCTAGATCCCATTGTTAACTAAACATGTCATATTTCCCTCTAGTTGTAGCAGATACTTTTTCATATCTTGATAGAGAAAGAAGTAATAATAATTACCAATGCATTTTTAGCCGCAAGGTTTCGTGCTTCCTATGGAGCAGTTAGTAAAAATGTATGTACAGATGTATTATTTAGATAAATTGAATGGCTCCGGGGGGGGGGGGGGGGGGGATGAGGGAGACTGAAAAAATTATTTCAGATATTCTTTCCACTTACATAGAACTTGAACCTCACTTGAGTATGATAGTTCGGGTAGAATGTCTGCATAAATAGTACTTACTGAATTAGAAAAGAAACAAAACAGAAAAAAGAGAAAAAAAAAAAAAAAAAAAAAAAAAAAAAAAAAAAAAAAAAAAAAAAAAAAGGGTAAAGATGAGGCAATAAGCGCGTCATTATTTCAGCTACGCACATCCTGAAATTCATCCCAGTTCATCTTCGAGTTCTGCAGGCGCAGCATGTACAGATTGGCCAGCCGTTCGGGTGGCCAGTCATCCTTTTTCTGGTAATGAGGGGTCATTGTTGATGTTGTTGGTTGCGGTGTCTCCTTGGGTATCTCCTGCTGGGTATCATCATTATTATTATTATTATTATTATTATTATTATTATTTTCGTTGCGGCTGATATTCTCAGGGGCAGGAGCAGGAGAGCTAGACCAGGGACCCCGCTGCTGCGGCTCCTCGTCGGGGCGGGATGGTAGAGTGGGCATGATATATAATATATAATCGAGCGTGTAGATGTATATATAATTAATTATAACAAATGCAAATGAGATGAGAATTAGAAGAATAGAAGGGGATAGATGGTAGAGCTCAGATAGATGAGAAGAAAGAATGGATGGAGATAGATGAGAGCTGAAGCCAGTAGAGTAGGTGCCGTCTGTTCAGGATTTTGTTTTCAATCAGAGACACAAGAGAATGAAATGATATTTGTAGTGTTGAACTGACTGTGTTGAATGAGATGAGAGCATCAGTTTCAGTTTCAGAGCCCACTCTTCTACCAAAGAAAGTGATGAAAGAGGAGGCCAGAAAGGGGGGGGGGGGTTTGAAATCAGATCTCACTAATTAGTTCTCAGACTCCTCTCTCAATGCAGGTTATTATTTGCAGTGTCTGGTCAATACAGAGTAAGTAACTTAGTGATTTGGTGGTTGGTGATGAGGTTGATTGTTGATTGTTGATTGTTGATGGTTGATGGTTGATGGTTGATGGTTGCACTGAAGAAAAAGTTGAAGGCTGGTTAATGATGATTGGTTGGTGAGTTGATTGATTGGTTGGTTGAACAGAAAGAACAAACCTTCATTTTGACTGACTTTGACTGAAGTAACTGGACTGGACTGGATAGAGACAGCATCACCAACATATTATTATTATTATTATTATTTGTACAGTGTAAGTAAGAAGATATAATATCAGGTTGAAGAATGTAGAATGTTCAACATGTGAGTTGAATAATTATGTCAACCTGGCGATTTTCTTATTCTCTTTTTTTTTGCTCCTTTTTCTTAACTAGCTTGAGTAAATATGAGAAATTAATTAATTAATTAATTGCCTTCTGAGAAGCTGATATCAAAGACTGAACTTTAGTATTGTGCAGAGAGATTATATGTATTTCAAATGTTCATTCATTATTGCACATTTATGTTATTGTTATTTGTTATTTTTATTATTTTATTATTTTTATTTTCAGATTTCCCCTCTCATGTCAACATGAAGAGACAAGAAGAAAGATACATTTCTTACTGCATAACTAAAGATCATTTACACCTTCATGCTTATGACAAGGATTATGTCTCATTCATTTGTAGAGAAGATTTCAGTCCAGGTTAAACCTGTTATATTCTTATTATCATTTATTCAATATATTATTTATTAACTATTCAATATATTATTAGCTCATTGAACAATCCAACTTGCCAAGTTTATTGGTCCCCTCCCCCCTCCCCCTCTACCTCTACATAAATATTTCAAGTGCGGAAGAAGATTCATATCAAAGTCCAACATCCCGCAAATCTTCGCAGGTATTATAATTAACTCTATCAGCTGCACACAATTCCAGACTCCATCCGAGCAACATCAGCATGGCACAGGATAGATATTATCTACTTAAATATCCCGTGGATGCACCCAGAGTCAGTGCGACGACACTAAAAATACAAAACACTCGCGATGTCCACACGGATTACTTTCCTCTCTGGCAAAGCGATGAGCAATGTCACACGGAGTTAACCTTGCCTTAGATCATAGCTAGCATTGCTTTTTCTCTTTTTTTGTCTTTTTCTACTCTTCAGATCTATTTCCCCGCATGCGCTGAGTTCCGACTTGAGTTCTAACTCGCGGGATGGGATGGCAACCCAGAATGCTCCAGTCCAGTCCAGTCGGGTGTTGTTCTTATTTATTCCTCTTGAATCATGCATTTTGCATTTTACAGTGCAGACTGCGGGAGGGGATACCTTCACACTATGCATACCCTGCCATTGCATACCTTACTACTATATACCACACCTATATACATCCCAGTTATTGCAGGACGCCGGTCGTTTCTTCCCAGAGCCTACAGCAGGCTATAGCTCTTAATATAAAGTCGGGAAGGAGCCTGTTAGAATGCTACTATTGTGTTTATACGCACCGAGAGACACATATCTCGTCTCAGGCAATCTCCTCTCTTCCTGGTTGAAATCCTCCAGATCATCCATCCAAGCTTGACAGGTAAATTCCTGAATTTCAGAATTCCTAGACTCCTAGGCATCATTGAAAAAGACTGTCTCGTATACAGGCTATGTGCGACAAATTCAAGGTTATCGTCTCCTTGTCTTCTTGAAGTACTTTTTCACTTATATACCTTGACAATTCCCCTTACCAGCTTCTTGCCAAAAGGACACCACCTCCACATATACATATGCACTTCCGCCCTGCAAGTGTCGACAATATATACGTATATCCATCCACCATGCTAAACCTCCTCCTAATCCCCCTTCTCTGCATGCCCCTTTCCCTCGTCCTCGCCCTCGCCCTCGCCCGCTCCAACACTCACCAACTCTCCCCGCGCACCAAAACCGGCAACCCCATCATAGAAGGCTGGTACGCCGACCCAGAACTACGCATCTACGAGGGCGCCTACTACCTCTACCCGACCTACTCCGCGGCCTTCGATAGCCAAACCTTCTTCGACGCCTTCGTCTCCCACGACCTGCTCACCTGGGAACCCACCGGCCGCCTCCTCGACTTTGCTGACGTGCCTTGGACCACCAACCGTGCCGCCTGGGCCCCCACAGTCGGCCACAAGGATGGCTCTTACTATCTCTACTACTCTGCCGGCGAAGGGGTCGGCATCGGGGTTGCCGTTTCTCACTCGCCGGCGGGGCCCTTTACGGATGTACTGGGCGGACCGTTGATTGGGGAGTATGTATTTGGCGCCCAGCCTATTGACGCGATGGTGTTTATGGATTCGGATGGGAATGAGGGCGGGAAAGGTGAGGGGAGGAATTATTTGTACTGGGGCGGCTGGGGACATGCGGTTGTGGGGGAGCTGGCGGATGATATGGTGTCGTTTAAGGGGGATTTTGTAGAAGTGACGCCTGATAAGGAGTATGTGGAGGGTCCGTGGATGCTGAAGAGGAAGGGCGTTTATTACTTTCTTTATAGTGTCGGCGGGTGAGTATAATTTTTTTTTTTTTTTTTTTTTTTTTTTTTTTTTTTTTTTCCCTCCCTTCTTTACTCTTTCGTTTCATGCTTAACCATATATATATATATATACGATTAAAACAGATGGGGAGACCCTTCCTATGCCGTTAAATACGTCAAAGCCGACAACCCAATGGGCCCATTCGACGGACCCTCCAAGTTGATACTCAGCAGCGATCCAGCCATTGGCACCAGCACGGGCCATAATAGCGTCTTCCATGTCGACGACGAGTATTTTATTGTCTACCATCGCCGGTCTCCGACTGATACTGAGCGCGACCATCGAGTTGTGTGCATTGATAAATTGGAATTTAATGACGACGGGGAGATCGAGGTTGTCAAAATTACGAACGAGGGGGTCGACGGGATTAGGTTGGAACGTAACTAGTAGTTATGAGCCGGGTTTCACCTGAGTGGTTGAGTCGCAAAGTGTGGAAATATAGGTTTAGATATATGTATAGCAGACATGCGCATGGCAACGATTCTTTGGGAGGGAAGGAGAACATGACCATCTTAGAAAGGAAGTATATTATTAGGTATGTGGTCTTAGTTTAGGCAGAATTATCCCGTCCATTTATGTAACGCCGACATAATATCATCCATATATATCTATATATCCCATCCCATTCCATCCATAAACACCCAGTAATCCAGAAAACGCATGAAAAAATCGAAAACACTACACCACATCCATACCCATATCCCACATTTCATATAGCCGGAACAATCCCCACCCCAGCGCATCCCGCAAAACACCCCGTCGGTCTCCTCGGGTCATAATACCCACCGACCTCCACCTCCTCATCCGTCTCACTCTCCGCATCCGCATCCGCATCCGCATCCCCTCGCCTCGCAGCCAACGATTCACCTTTACCAATCGAAGCGGTGGTACCCCGACCTCTCCCCCCCTCCTGGGGCCCCTCCTTCTCGCCCTCCTCCTCCTCTTCTCCCAACGGATTCTTCTTCCCAACCCCCTTCCCCACCCCACCCCCAACAGCCGTAAACGAACTCTTAAACCCGCCCTTCTTAAACCCTCCTCCCGTGCCCGCACTGCCACCACCAATCCCACCACCACCACCACCACCCCCCGAGACCTCCACCCTCACAATCCCCGCCTCCTCATCCCTCTTCCGCTCCTCCCTCCGCGCCCTCTCCGCCGCCAGTGGGTCGCGCGACAGCTGCTTCAGATCGCGCAGCCGCTTACGGTGCTGGTGGTCATAGGAGCCGATGTGCGCTTCGTACTCCGGGTGGCGCGAGTAGGATTTGTTGCAGAGGGTGCAGGTGAAGGCGGTTAGGGCGTTGCGGGCGGATTCAGTTTTGGGGGCTGGGTTTGTGAAGGCGCGCTGCTGGGGGGAAGAGGGGTCAGTGGGTGTGTTTCCAAGGTTGTGTATATTATATTGATGGGGGTTGAAGGGGACGGACTGGAGGCATTTTTGGGAGGTTTGAGGGAGGTGTTTTTTATTTCTTTTTTTTTTCTTTCCCTGGCTGGATATTCTTGTTTGCGGGAGGTCAGGATGGCATGATGTAGTGTTTGTTTTGGACCTTCAGCTAGGTATAGAACTGATATTATCGCGAGGTAGATGCTGTGCAATAATGTTTATGTATCTAATATCAGCGTATTCTGCCGCTGAGAACAAAGGCGGTGAACATATTCGGGGGAAAGCCAAGCTTCTACCTTCAACTATTCTTCTTCTCTTCTTCTCTTCCTTTATTAGAGCCAAGCTGGTAGTTTATTCTACTCTTCAATTGTTAACTAACTATATTTCAAGTTATAACCCGATATACATTGCCTTATTTACGCCAAATAAAGCCGCTTGTAGATATTGGTCAATCTACTATTTATTACCACCGACATCTCTGGCCGTTCCATGTCATAACATCCCTATGGATGGTCAACACCAACCACACGGCCAACGACGACGACGCCCGTCTGAAACTGAAGACTCGTTCGTAGATCCTCTGCAGGAACTCGACCCGTCACCTCTCGACTGGACCCCGGACCTGGAACAGGGCGGATACTCCCCCAACATCTCCTCCTCCCGCAAATCCTCAGAAACACGCAGCTATGAAAGCGAAAGCAAGCACAGAAGTAGCCCAGTTCGACATGTAGGGCTAAGTGGAAAGGGTTGGGAATACTGGCGTACGCTATATCCTCTCTATTTACCTCCTTACCTCCTTATCACCACTCGGGAAAAAAAAAATGAAACGTTTCCAACAAAAATATAGTCTCAACCCTCCAGCGAACATCCACCTACCCGCCCACCCTCTTCCTAACCATGCACTTCACAAACACCTCCCTACTCCCCCTCCTCACCAACTCCATCCCAGCCTCCGAACCCTATCTCCTCCTCACCCGCCCCTTCTACCAATCCCCCGCCCTCGAACCCCTCCTTCTCACGCTCCCCATCGTCACCCACCTCGCCTCAGGAGTCGCCCTCCGCATCCTCCGCGCCCGCCGCCGCGCCCGCCTCTACGGCGCCGAAACCCGCGCCCAGCGCCACGAGCTCCGCGCCTCGGGTCACTGGAGACGGCCCAGCGCCCAGGCCTGGCTGGGCTACCTGCTGCTGCCGCTGCTCGGGTCGCACGTGCTGGTCAACCGCGTTGTGCCGGTGGTGGTGGACGGGGGCAGCTCTGGGGTTGGGCTGGGGTTTGTGGCGCATGGGATTGCGCGGGCGCCGTGGATTATGCGCGGCTGGTATGCGGCGCTGGTTGGGGTGGGTGTGTGGCATGTTGTCGGGGGGTGGGCGTGGTGGATGGGCTATAGGCAGGAAATGACGGAGACGGGGAAGGGGACGGGGAAGGGGACGGGGAAGTGGAAGAGTAAAGGGGCCGGTGGGGGGTTTTTGGGGTCGTTGGAGTGGAGGAAGAGGTCGAGGAGGGTTAGACGGGCTGTTATTGGGGTTTCGGTGGCTGGGGTTGGGTTGTGGTTGGCTGGTGGATTGGGGATTTTGGGGCAGGGGGGAGTGGGAAGGGGGTGGGAGGCAAAGGGATGGGATAATATATATAGAGAGGTGCCGTTGTTAGGGTGGGTTATGGGGTTGAAATGATTTGGGGATGGGATATGATTTTGCATTTCATGTCTGTGTAGTTCGTATAGATAAATACACCATTTTTGGGAGGTAGCTAGCTACTAGAATAATAGACGTTTCTCAATGGAAGTATTTCCCTTGGAATATGAGAGGAAATTAACATACAATTGAGACCAAATTACCCAACTAAATCACTCTTGTAGATATTCGTCTTCCCCATCGTTTTCTTGCAACCTCAATATCCCCTCCCCCCTGGCTCGGCATTCCCACTGATGCGATATCGGAGCAATCGTGTTTCGCCGAAAGTGACAGAACGAACATCCAACGCCGGCAATCACAAAAACGCAGAAAAACATCTCAGGAGTTTAACAGACAGAGCAGCATGGAAAGGAGAAATAAAACATCTGAATTAACACCAATTGACGATGTGAATTACTCCCTTTTTCCAACATACACCCCACTGGCTGCCATCCACCCGGTTACAGCACAGCACAGCATATATACATATGGATGATTACCGAGCGGGATGCCGAATGAATCACGGCAGACACAGCCAATGCCGAAGCTGCAGCCAGCTAACAAAAAATTCCCTGCGCCGGTGCGAATCCAGTCCATAGCCGCCTGCCCCGCAATCAAAATCTAACCCCGCCGAATATCTGCGTAAAAAAACATGGAATAAAAGGAACGGCGAAGTCCGCTTCTGGCCGAGAGATTCCATCTCAAAATTTTCTTTTCCTCTTCCGTCTCAGCCCCCTATTCCCCTCTTTTGTCATGAATTCCTCTATACACACACACACACACACACACACACATATATATATATATATAGATGCCCGACACACCAGAGATGACCACCCACAAAATCCTCGTCCTGCCCGGCGACGGCATCGGCCCCGAAATCACCGCCGAAGCCCTCAAAGTCCTTTCCGCCTTCTCCTCCCAGACACGCACCTTCACCCTCCGCACCGAGCTAATAGGCGGCTGCAGCATCGACGCCCACGGTACCCCCGTAACGGACGCTGTCATCCAAGCCGCCCTAGACTCCGATGCGGTCCTGTTCGCGTCTGTCGGCGGGCCAAAATGGGACAGAGTCCGTCGCGGCCTTTAGGGACCGGAGGGGGGCCTGCTGCAGCTGCGCAAGGCGATGAATGTATATGGGAACCTGCGGCCGTGTATATCGCCATGCAGGGCGGTGACGAGGGAGTTTAGTCCGTTCAAGGAGGAGGTGGTCGAAGGGGTGGAGTTTTTGGTGCTCAGGGAGAATTGTGGCGGGGCGTATTTTGGGAAGAAGGTGGAGGAGAGGGATTATGGTAATTATATTATATTATATTTTTTTTTTCTTTCCCCTGTTATATTAGTTATATAGTTATTTATATACTAATCTACCCAGCAATGGACGAATGGGGCTACAGCGCCCCCGAAGTCTCCCGCATCGCCCGCCTGGCCGCCTACCTGGCCATGCACCACAAAAGCCCAACCTTCTCCAACAACCCCCTCCCCCATAATCTCCCTCGACAAAGCCAACGTGCTCGCCTCCTCGCGCCTCTGGCGCCGCGTCGTCACCGAAACCATCGCCACCGAATTCCCCCAGCTCAAACTCACCCACCAGCTCGCCGACAGCGCCTCGCTGCTCATGGCTACCAAGCCGCGCGTGCTGAACGGCGTGCTGCTGGCGGATAGTACCTTTGGCGACATGTTGTCGGACCAGGCTGGGTCGATTGTGGGCAGCTTGGGCGTGCTGCCTAGTGCGAGCTTGAGTGGCGTGCCCGGGGAAGATGGGAAGGAGGGTCTGAAGGGGTTGTATGAGCCGACGCATGGCTCGGCGCCGGAGTATGTATTCCCCCCCCCCTCTTGACATTGGCTTATATAAAAAGCAGGAAGTAGATAGGGCAAGAAGAAAGAATGAAAGAAGAAAGGAGGATAAGTGGATGGACGCTGATCCCCTCTGTTCTCAAATATAGCATCGCCGGCCAAAGCAAAGCGAACCCCGTCGCCATGATCCTGTGCGTGGCGATGATGTTCCGCTATTCGTTCCACATGGAGGCCGAGGCTCAGTTGATTGAGCAGGCTGTGTCCGCTGTGCTGGAGTCGGGGGTTCGCACTCCGGATTTGGGTGGGAAGGCAAAAACGGCGGAGGTTGGGGATGCGATCGTCGAATGTATCAAGAAGAATGGCGGTTCGTAGGGGGTGGACATGTATTTCCTGGGATTGAGGGATAAGAGGAAATGGGTATTTATTTTTACGTCTTGGTTAAAGTGCTTGGTTATTCTTAAGGTATAGAGGGAGTATGATGCATGTATAGATTCAATTCATATATGAAGGAGTTGCATATGCATGCAAATGCATTGCTTATCTGATACCAGAAGCATACTGCCGCTTTTTCCTCTAGAAATCCAGGGGATTGGGCGTGTATTAAATGATACACAAAGCCAAATACAATGACGTAAAATTTTTCACTTCCCACTCCTCGACGCCCTATTCATTGGCCCCCAATTCGCCCTCGGATTCATCTGATACCGCGTCAGTCTCTTGCTCCGATGCGCCGCGAGCACGGTCCTACCCAGAGCCTCATCAAACACGATTTTCAATGTGCTTGGATCCGGGCTTCTGGGGGATGGAGAACGTGACCGCCTGGGGCTTCTTCTTCGGGGTGAAGCACGTCGTTGATGTTGTTGGTTCTCCGGAGTGGCTTTTTCACTCTTGGGAGGAGGAGTACTACCACACTCGGCTCCATTTTTGCGCTTGTCATCGGCCCTTTTGGGTCCGGTACCAGCACGATACAAGGCAGACTCAATCCTCATGATCAGATCGGAGACCTCCCTCGACCCTTCTACCGCCGCTAGCACATCCCGCTTCAGCCCTCTCAACTTCGCTCCCGCATCGTCATCCACACGGCTCTCGCGATCACCCTCAACATCCCTCTTCCGCCTCATAATTCCCATCCCCGCCGTCCCCTCCCGAATACTGCCCTCCTTAACGGGGCACTTCTGCCTCACCCACTCACGTATAATTTCCCAAATGACGTTCCACGGCGCGTCCGTTCGCACGGAGCCGGCCTTCGTATGGCTGCGACTGGATTTGTAGCCCAGGTGGCGCAGGGCGCCGCGCAGACAGTCTTCGGAGATTGTTTGGGTGTGCACGACTTTGCAGACGTAACTGGGCATGAAGAAAAAGGGATGAGGGTCGAGTTTGGCCGGGTCAGTGCGGGGGATTATGAGAGACGGTGCGTCTTTTTCTTTCCCGTTCGTGGTAGTCTCTGGAATAACAACAGCAGAGTTATCAGAGTCAGGAGCGGGGGAAGTTTCGCATGAGGATCCTTCCATATCCAAATCCTCCTCTAACGCGGTCGAAAGCATCCCCTCGATTCTCCCCACGGTGGGGTATGTCTCCTTATCTGCGCCGGGAAGTAGATCCAAAATCCGCTGGATAAAGATGTTGTTGTGCAACGGGCCCGCCCACATGGGGCCAGCAAGGTGAGTCTTAAATCCGCAGTGCTCGCATGTAGGTGCCGTAGCTGGTCCCTGCGCGAAGCCATGGTGATAGTAGGGGTTTCCCTTCCTATCAGTCCTACATCTATTCACAGCGAGAGGCTGCGTCTTCCATGCCCCGCAGCCGTTATCGCAGTTATATACAACCATAGACTTCCCAGCTGTGAATTTCACCTCTGCCGGTGAGCGGTGGACACGGACGAAGACCCTTGCATAGAAATCGATAGAGAGGGAGAGGAGGGGTTCGATGGCTAGGCCATACTTGGCGCCTGAGCTTGCGATTGCGTGTAGGATGAGTCGGAGGCCGGCTTCGTGTGACTGCGGGCCTTTGAAGGGTATGCCGCCATATAGTGCGTAAGTTTTCTCGGGATAGCCGTTGGAGGCAAACACGCTTGCATCTGTGCATGTTACGCACAGCAGACCGCCATCGGTGATGGCCTGGACGGCAGCGTCCAGGAACGGCGCCGCGGTGCCGTAGGGATCAAGATCAACGACGTCAAATTTTCCAAAATTATTGCTGTCCTTGATCCTGGGTCCACGGAGGATGCTATACATGTACGCACAGGCATCACCGGTGTTGGGTACGACAACGTCCCCGACGCCATTGTGCTTAATGTTCAACTTCATGGACTCGATCGCGTCGGGGGAGAGGTCGTTGGCGACGATGCGGGTTGTGAAGGGGATTTCCTTCGCGTAGCGGAGGGCGCGGAGACCGGTTGCAGAGAGAGCATCGAGGATGGAAAAGGAGGGGACCCTAGTTTGCTCTGTTGTAGATGTGGTTGCAGTTGTAGTTGTATCTTGTTGATCCGCCTGAACGCCGTTCTCAAGAGCACTCCCCTTCTCCCCGTCCTCCCCTTCCGCTTTACTCCCCCCTTCCACGCCCCTTCCTCCAACATCCGTAACCCCTCTCTTCCTCTTCCTCCCTTTCGACCCCTTCTTATTTAGCGCCGCCTTCTCCATCTTCTCCTTTTTCACCAGAATCGCATGCTCCCCATACGCGCGGATCGCCAAAACGCTCAAGTCGCGATTGAACTGCTGAATCGGGTTGTAGAAGACAGACTGGGCCTCTTGCTGCCGCTGTTGCTGCTGCTGTTTCCCCTGCTGTTTCTTCCCTCCTCGTTGCGACTCCGCATCCACCTCAACGGCCGTCACCTTCTCCTCCTCCCCTGATCCCACTACTCCATGCGCCGCCGTCCCATCCCGCACTTGCCTTTCCCCTTGCGATCGCGGTATAAGTATATACGCCAACCCCTCTTTCACCACCACATACTCCTTCCCCTCGTGCTGTAAAATCTGCCCTGCACTCAGTTCCACACCCGATTCCACGGCCGGCGCGGGAGAGCTGGAGTTCTGCACAGTCGTCTGGGTCATGGCGGCGGCGGCAATTGTCGAACTATCACTCGTGCTCGTGAATGTACGTTTGCACCGAAACATGGGGAATCGCAACTCAAAGCTGGAACGGAGCTTCTGCTCTCCGTGGAGGGACGGAAACGCGGTAGAGAAGCACTTGATGTTATTAGTGTGGGGTGTGTTGCGGAGGAGCGGCGGGAGTCTACGACCGAGAGTTGTAGATGTTGGGAGGGCTGAATTTGTTGCCCAACATAGCAAAAATTCGGAATTTATGCGGATACGTGTGCGTGCGTTTCTTGGGAAGAGGCACTGGTGCATTGACGTTCCATAGAAGGCGCCTGAAGCGTATGGCTGTGGGTGTTTCTTGTGTCAGTATGAGGCTTTGTGGTGCGGAAGTTTTTTTTTACTGTCAGATATATAGCACGTGACTAGTTTTCGGAGCCCTGGAGGTTTTTGGGGGAGAAAAGAGTCAGTCAGAATTCAGAAAAGGGAAAGAAATTCGGAATTGAGAAAATATTCTTGAGTGTACTTTTACGTGCGATGACAGAGGTTTTCCTTCCAGAGAGAAGAAATACAATACGGTATGACAGAAAGATAGCACCAGAACCTGGTGAGATGATAACTAGACGCACTTCAATGATATGTGATGAAAATTAAGAACATAGGATTGAATATCATTTTGAGCTGCTCATCATGTAAAAGAAATTAACCAATTTTCAAAGCAGAAAAAGAAAAACGAAACAAAAAAAAATTAAAAAAGGGAAACATGACATTATCTCCAACATTCATTACCATTCCCACTATACATGCATATTAAAAAGAAATAAGAAAAGAAATAACAGAAAACAGATATCACCCGAAGTAAAGAAGCCTGCCGAATCAAGAGTACTTCCCCCCCCTTCTACTCTGTTCTACTATCATAACGTCTAGGTCTACAACCTCATTATCTGTAATACATCTTAGAGCAAGACAAACTCCTCAAAACTTCGACATCGCAATCGCAATAGCCTGCGTATCACTATGGCTAATGCTAACACTAACCTCCTTAACACCCGCCTGCTTCGCTGCAGCAGCAGCATCGCCGTGTAACTAATGGCACGAGTCAGTAAACGAGTTTTTTAAGCACATAAGCAAAGAGGTTGTTTATAATAAAAGAATAGAATGGGAACTTACAACAACAACCGGCGCCCCACCCTTCCCGCTTAAAATCTCAATGTCCCTCAACGCCGCACCAGCCCCCTTCCCCACGACCCCAAGACTCTTAAAAACAGCCTCCTTGGCACTCCAGCGGCCAGCAAACGACGCCTGCGGCGACGGCGTGGCGCGACAATAACGCTGCTCCTCCTCGGTGAAATTACGCTCGACGAACGTTTCGTTATCGATATTGATGGCCTCGATGCTTTCGACGTCGACACCGACTTTGGAGTTTTCGGTCGCGGTCGCTTTGGCGAGGGTCTCGACCATTTGACGCGTTTGGAGGGTTTGTGCCCTGTCTTCGGATGGTGAGGGTGGCGTGGATGTGTTTTGCTTGCTGTTGGTGGCGGTGCGTTTGACGTTGGGGCCATTATTGCCGCGGGGAGTGGAGACATAGCCCAGGGTATTGGTCTTTTCATTAAGAGCAACCCGGACGTCTGGATTAAGGAATACCTCCGACTCCATCTCATCGGTATACGGCGATTTGTCCTTGGCCACGAACAGACTGTTATTAATAAAGCCGTTATGGAAATACCGGTACGCCTTCTTCTGCCTCGCCTCCACTTTCCTCTTATACCCGTCAAATGTCGCTCTATCAAGCGTTGCGAACAGGTACTTGGGGTGAATGCCGATGGCCTGCGTTCCCTTCTGCCCGAACCCGAACGACGTCACTGAGAATGCCTTGATGCCATCCGTCTGTAGACTCCGGCTTGGATAGACGATATAATCGAACTTCTCCATGACCTTATCGATATTATCCGCATTACGGTTGCCGGGCACAAGACCCGAATTCAACACCTGCAAGGCACCGTTGAACATGAAGCCACCTGCGGCACCCTTGGGATGGCCCGTGAGGTACTTCTGGAAGATGCCCATCATCGCATTGCCCTTCTGGCGACCCAGGTGCCTCATCTGCTGGCAGATAACGTCGCACTCGTTCTTGTCGTTGGCGACGGTGGAGGTGCCGTGGAAGGACGCAACGTCGAGATCATCAATGGTCAAGCCCCAGGTAGCCAGGGCGCCGCGAAGTGGCGCGATGCGCGAGTCTTGTTTCCAGAAGTTGTTACCGAGGCTGAATGCAGCGTCTTTCTCCTGACGGACTGCTTCACGCTTGATGTGCTCGATACGCTCTTGCATGTACTCGTCAGCATTGAAGGGTTCGGTAGTTTGAGCCTTCATCGCTTCGACTTCCTCATTCAGATATAGGAGCTCAGATTCCTGCCATTGTTTGATTTGAGATTTGCGGAGATCGAGCTGGCGACGGCGGTAATTGATATCCAGAAGTGGCGAGGGGAATTTGCCAGCATTCTCCCGGGCGGTTGACAAGACACCCTTTCCAGGAGCTGGGACGGATCTACCAATCTTGTCCGTGGCAGTAGTGGTCAGACCAATGATACCATAGATTGGTACACCCATATCCAACGCAAGCTGCGCGCTCATGATTAGCTGCATACCGCAACCCTGCGACTCCATGAAGCCACTACGCGTCGTGGTGGTTGGTCGGGACATTTCTTGGGGCGTTCGGCCATGCGCGAATTCCTTCTCGGCGTTACTGGTAGCCTGCATGTTCGCAAACTCATACGACCCTTCTTCTTGGAAGTCGTCGAAGCCACCCACGAAACACACGCGCGCTTTGCCCTCGACGATAGTCTCGTAACCGATGTCGATGGACTCAACGGCCGTGGCACAAGCACCAACAGGTGTCTTGATAGGACCAGTGGAGGAGAGTAGAAGCATGTTTACCCATGCGCTCATGGTGTTGATAAAGGACTCCTGAAGGATATCCTTTTGCACCGGCTTATCGAGGAAGCGATCCTTGTACATACCTCGTAGAGCGTGCGATCCACCGATACCGGAGCCGATACAGTTACCAACCTCTGAGATATGGACGTATTTGTAGAATTCATAGGGGTCGGTGATACCAGAGGCAAGCAGGGACTCGACAGTGCAGACGAGGACATAGAGGGTAACAGGATCCACTTGGCTAATAATATCATCTGGAATACCATAGTGCTTCGGATTCCACCCAGTGGGAATCTGGCCAGCAACCAAGCGATCGAACTTGAGAGCCTTGGGAATCATGAGGGTAGCACCCTTAAGCAAGCGAACGGTGTACTCCCCTGAATCCGGAATCTCAAAGATCTCCACTTTATCACCATGTTCGCGCCTGAACTCCTCCGCGGTTTCCTTGGACGCCTCAAACGGATCCAGATCCTCCTGCAACACAATCTCCTGCAGCAGCTGTTTTTTCTTCGGATCATACCCGTTGAAAAGCTCCGGCTCAATAAGACGAATACCAGAATGTTCCAAGATATGTTTCTCATACTTCGCCTTGACATCCTTATCATTAACAGGCTCGCCGGTCTTCGCATCGACCCAGCCGGAATATGGCTGGCCCTTGATGAGGCCGTTATGGTTCTTGATAAGTCCCATCAACCATGCCATCTCAATGCACCCTTCGAGTGAGAACTTTCCATAGGCTTCCATCTCCCACCGCGTGCGAGAGTTACCCCACGGCCCAATCTCAGCGAAGCCTGTGACGACAACCACCTTATCCAAGTTCACCATACCCTTAAGATTGGCGTTGAGAGGTTCGATCTCTTGTTTCCAGTCAGGCAGCTTCGGAAATTCAAACTTGATGTTCGCGCGGGGCTCTGTGGTGACCTTCTTATACAATGCCTCGCTATCCTCGCCATTGACAACCTTGTTCTCCAGCGCTGTCTCCTTACTGACAGCTTGGCGGACTGTGCTGGTCTCCTTCACCTCGCTGTGAAGTTTCTTCATCAGCAGATTGAGGTCGGGAAGGAATTGAAGGCCACCGTTGAGGTCGGCAAAGACAGGCTGGATCTGGCACAGGCTGACAATGGCAGGTGCCATGAGACCGAGCAAATTGAATGCCATCTCCTGCTGCGAGAATGTGCGCACGCCAAGTTTTTCGACGCCTTCGGCAATCACGTCGTTGGCGTTCATGAGGCCGGTACAACGCGTCCACCCGATGACAGCACCGCAAATAGTGAGATAATTCGCCCAGCTCTCGGAGTACCAACGGTTGAAAAGCGTTTCCAATCCGAGCTTGGACTCAGAGTAGAGACCATCGTTACCGAAGGTGCCGTGGTTGGGCGAGAGGGGCAAGATAACCTGGGCTGGACGAGTTTCGAACCCGCGCTCGTGCTTCTGGGCCTTGACACAGCCAAGTAGGCGGTAGATGTTGGTCAACATGAGTCTGTGTGCGAGTTCGGATTTCGAGTCAATGCTATCGATCTCCCGTCCATTCTCCGAGATGGCAGCGAAAGGCACAACGTAATCCAGATCCCAGCCGAGTCCATTCTTGGGGTCATAAATGTACTCCACAAGCGCTTCGATATCCTGCTTGCTGCCTTGATTGAACGGGACGACAACAAGCTGAGAACCCCGGGCACCGTAGCGGGTGTACATAGTTTGGTAGTACTCTGTGACTTCCCGAGAGAATCGGCTGGTCGTGACAACAACCTTGGCACCACCGCTGATCATACCCTGCAGAACAGCAGCACCAATTGATCCCGCACCTGCACCTGTCATCAGCGCATTTTTACCATGAAATGTGACGCCGGAACGAGCAGCGGATTCTAGCCCATCGAGGTAGATGCCGGTGAGTTTCTTGCTGTAGTCCCAGCCGTTCGCGCGTTTCTTCTTGAGGTGGAGGAATGGGATGGTCTCTATTTTGCCTGTGCGTCCGTTTCCGTGTCCGTTGACGCTTCCATTCCCGTTGACGGCGTTACCGTTCATGCGAGATTTCGAGCTATTCCGACTGCCCTTCTTCGCATGGCCGTTCTCTTGCGGCATGATCTGGTTCTCGTTCATGGACAGCGCACGCAGAACCTCGCGATATAGAGCATTAAATTGCAACTGCGATGACTTTGAGAGTTTGTGTTGCTTGCGAATGAGCTTATAGACATTCTTTAGGTCGTTTTGTACTTTGGTGCGGTTGCTGTATTCGGAAATGGGTCCGCCCTCCGCCATGGCCTTGACGTAATGCTCAAGTTTCCGGGCGCTGCCTCGGGGAATCTCTGTGTATTTGATGTTCCCGCGTGAGTCAATGATAGTTTGAGGGCCAGTGGGTATCGCAACATCCTTATAGACAGGTTTCTCATTGAGAACCTCCTTACAATTTTCGATGAGCTGCTGGCCAAGTTCCTTTGCGAGTTTATATGTTTCGCCGCGTTCAGTGGGGCAGTTGTCGATATGGTATTGCATGAATTCCAACAGAAGAGGGTTCGATCGATTCATTAGACGAATACATTGGCTGACAATTTCGCGATCCACAACCTTTAGCCGGCCGAAAATGATATCGTAATACATGTTGAGCGCATCCTGTCTCGCCCAGTTCCAGGATGAATCGTATACGCGAGCCTTGAGAGGGTCAAAGGACGGGAATATGCCAGAAGCATATACATCGCCATGCTCAGCATGCCACAGATCCAGTTGCGCCTGGAGAGCAGCCTGAGTTTCCTGGGAGGCTAGGAAAGCTTTATCGCCTGCGCGAAGATCTTTCTTGAGGTATCGCGCAGTAAGTTCGAGCTGCTGCTTGAAGAATGAGCGTTGGTCTTTCGTCAGAGCGTCCAGGGCGGCTGGGTCCATCATCATGCCACCACCTGCACTGCCTCCATCACCACCAGCGGAAGCAGTAGAAAGACTGATACCCGCATTCGCAGCATACTTGTTGGCAACATCGTCCAAGTATGCTTTGGCGTCCGATTCCGAGCCCAATCGCGACGCAGGCTCCATGGTTAAAGCCAGTAGAAGAAGGCCGTCTTGTCGTCCTGATTGCAGTCCCCATCTTGTTTCAAGGTATTTTCTCACAGCAGTAATATTGAAGCCACCGGGCATTTTGGAGGAAACGAGTCTGGCAACGAGTGATGAGGATTGTTTGCCAAGCTGGCCATCAAAAGTAGTCTGGATGGTAGCACCCAGCTCATCCAATGGGGTATCTTCTGGTTTCTCTGGGGTTGAACCGAATTCTTTTCCGAGATCACCCAAAATTTCATTTTGAAGGGTTGATTTACCTATGGGAAATTAGTGTTAGTCAAAAGTGTCAATTGAGACCTGAGGGGTGGATAAGAGAAGGAACGAAAAGAAAAGGGAAGTAAGAATGCACCCACCTCCAACAAGATCCTTAATAGCTTTTGTTAGCGGAATATCTGCCAGCGGCTTCTTCAATTTCTGTGCGACAAGCACTCTAACTATATCCAGAGCTGAAACAGGCGCATCCTCAACAGCAGCTGCTGGGCCAGCCGATGGAGCTGGAGCCGCAACTGGAACAGCTACATGAGTGGGAGTAGAGCTAGCAGCTGCAGCAGGAGTGGTAGAAGGAGTATCAGCGGCCACAGGCTGTGGGACATCCTCCACGGGATCAACATCATAATAAATCTCCTTCGCATCTTTGTTATAACACAGGATCTGGCGTTGAACTGAAGTAGCTGCGTCGTAAGCTTCGTACTTTGAGGCGATGGTGCGTCTGGCCATTCCACCAAGGGTGTCAGCGGGGCCTATTTCAACGATGCGTTCCGTCCGTTTCTCCTGGAGGATGACATCTTGGGTTTCGATCCATCTGACAGGAGAAGCAAATTGGTATGCGAGGAGCTCGACGAGGAGGGTGTGGGCGAGCTCTTGCTCGACTTCGGGGCGCATGTTGATTGATGGTAATTGAGATGGATGAAGGGGAGGAAGAGGAGGGAAGAGAGATTATCGGAGTATAGGATTTATTGCAGGAATTGGAGGGGAAGAGAGATACTGGATACAAATTGGTGGGAGTTTGAGAAAAATAAAATAATTAAGATCGGAAGAAAGAGAAAAACTCCAAGGGCATGTCAAGATAGATAAGGAAGAGGGTGAGCAAGAAAGAGCGGACTACAGTTCCTCTCTGACCAGCAATGAATGAGCCAGGAGAAGAATCCCTCCAGTCAATCTAGAAGTCCGTCAGTGAGTGAGAGGACGAGTGAGAGAGACAGACAAGTCCGGGGTGGGTGGGAAGCAGATGGCGGAGGAGAGAGGAGGAAAAATGAAGCCAGCAACCGGCGAAAAAATGACGCCAGGAGAAGTTGTGGAAGTTTGTTGTTGGGGAGTTGAGACTGTTGATACCGTATCTGCGTGACAGTACGCAATACGGTACCTGGTTGGGACTGGCGCTAATCCCGGTAGGTGGGTATCGTTACGGGGTTGAAACACCGATCCGAGAACTCGAACCGGGTCGGAGCGCGGCAGATTGGCCCAAGGTATTGTCGCTCTCGTATCGCCGAGTACGGGTTCGGATACGGCGCGGTAACGAAAAAAAAAAAAAACGAAAAAGAAATTTTTTTGAAAAAAAAAAAAAAAGTTACCGCATCACATACCAATGTTAATCACCCCTTTGTTCCGGTAAAACAGGTTTTATAAGCATCATCGTCTACACGCAGACCAAGGCTCCAGTACCAAGTTGCCAACATTAAACCCTCCCGTATCAAGAATTATTCAATGAATGAATGATACAAGATGTATTGTCTATCTCCACATTGGCCACAGCTTGTTGGGAGCTCAGAATCCCGAGCTATTGCGGTGTATTGCGGCGTATCGAAGCGTTTATTGCTCCGTACTGTACTGTTCAACCCGGGCGGCTGGGAACGCTACTGCATGACTAAGCCCAACCCTTTTGCTTTTTTGGGGCGCATTAAGTTACACGCTAAGCCTAATGCGAGCTCTCTGAGTTCAACGCCTCGCTGGGCCGCTGTATTTATCAGTATTTGTGCGTATTTATCAGTGTTTATCGGTTTTTTATCGGTATTGATTACCGCACCTCAAATTTTCCCAATGCGGACAAATGAGCATCAACTCTCCTCAACAACGTCTTCAATTCTGCACCTCCACGTTCTCTTCATCTCTGCACTCCTCTTCTTCCCCCGTACTCTCTGTCACTGTTGCTATCCTGGTCCGGACAAAAGGAGGAGTGTTCAACATCATTCAACAGTTACTTCGTCTCATTCTTTTTGACCGCTGCTTATGAATTGAATGCCGCTTCGTGCCCGCGGTGCTCTCCTTTCCTCCCAACATCTCCCCCCCCCTTTCCCCAATCATCTCTTCAACATCCTCCTTCCTCTTGTGAAGCTAGGGGACTGTCGCGATCTCTATCTGCCTTGCAACCGCCGTTCATAAAACCTACGGGTAAGGGACCTTATCCTTTTGCAATCTACAAAAAAATATTCTCTCGATTGACCAGCTTGTCCACAGTGTGCCTCTGTCTGTCAACATCATGTACGGCACTTCTACAGGCCCCCAGACGGGCATTAATACTCCACGATCCTCTCAATCTCTCCGCCCTCTCATCCTCTCCCATGGCTCCCTCGAGTTCTCATTCCTAGTCCCCACCTCCCTACATTTCCACGCCCATCAACTCAGGGACTCCTTTTCCGCCTCCCTCCCCGCCCCCACAGATGAATTGGCTCAGGATGACGAGCCTTCCTCCGTGCAAGAGCTTGTCGCAAGATATCTAGGCTATGTTGCCAGCCAGGTAGAGGAAGGCGAGGACGATGCGCAGGGCTCTTATGTCGAAGTATTGAAGCTTATTCTGAACGAATTCGAGCGCGCCTTCATGCGGGGCAACGATGTACATGCCATCGCCTCGACTCTTCCAGGAATCACCGCAAAGAAGCTTCTCGTCGTACAGTCCTACTATGCAGGTCGTGCGGCGGTAAATCGGCCCACTAAACCACACGATTCTGCTTTGCTACGTGCGGCTGCAGATGGCAATGCACAGCTGTACAGCGTCTTTGGCGGCCAGGGAAACATCGAGGAGTACTTTGATGAGCTCCGGGAAATCTACACTACATACCCTTCCTTCGTAGAGGATCTTATCACATCTTCCGCAGAGCTTCTCCAGTCTCTTACGCGCGACCCGGACGCCATCAAGCTCTACTCAAAAGGCATGGATATTGTACGATGGCTCCGGGATCGCGAGTCACAGCCAGATACCGATTATCTGGTGTCTGCACCCGTCAGTCTTCCCCTGATCGGTCTGGTACAGCTCGCACATTTCGTGACGACATGTAAAGTCATGGGAAAACAGCCTGGCGAAGTCCTGGAGAGGTTCAGCGGGACTACGGGCCATTCCCAGGGCATTGTCACCGCAGCATTGATCTCAACTACGACTACCTGGGAGAGCTTTCACAAGGCCGCCCGAAATGCCTTGACCATGCTCTTCTGGATCGGTATGCGAAGCCAACAAGCATACCCGCGAACCTCGCTTGCCCCATCTATCCTTCAAGATTCAATTGAAAACGGCGAAGGTGTGCCAACACCCATGTTGTCTATTCGAGATCTTGCCCGCTCCGCTGTCCAAGAGCATATCGATGCCACCAACCAACATTTACCTCAAGATCGCCATATCGCCATCTCTCTGGTAAATAGTGCCCGCAATTTTGTGGTGACTGGTCCTCCCATTTCTCTCTACGGTCTAAATCTTCGATTGCGCAAGGTTAAGGCGCCAACCGGATTAGATCAGACTCGTGTGCCGTATACACAGCGCAAAGTCCGTTTTGTCAATCGTTTCCTCCCAATAACCGCCCCCTTCCACAGTCAATATCTCGCTTCTGCTTTCGAACAGATTACGGAAGATCTGGAGGACTTGGTCATCCCATCCAAGTCCCTGCGTATTCCCGTCTACGATACCAATACCGGTGAAGACTTGCGGGACAGAGACGAAGATATCGCCCCAGCTTTAATTCGCATGATTACGAGAGACCCTGTCAACTGGGAGAATGCCACCGTTTTCCCCAAGGCAACTCACATCCTGGACTTCGGACCAGGAGGCATTTCCGGCCTGGGTGTTTTGACCAACCGCAACAAAGATGGTACTGGCGTGCGCGTTATTCTTGCCGGAGCAATGGATGGCACCAACGCGGAAGTGGGTTACAAACCAGAGCTGTTTGACCGCGACGAGGAACATGCTGTCAAGTATGCTGTGGATTGGGTTAAGGAGCACGGCCCACGGTTAGTCAAAACGTCTGTTGGCCAGACATTTGTGGACACGAAAATGAGCAGGCTGCTTGGTGTGCCTCCCATCATGGTTGCTGGTATGACTCCTACAACTGTCCCCTGGGACTTTGTTGCTGCCACCATGAACGCAGGATATCAAATCGAACTCGGTGGTGGTGGATACTACGACCCTAAAATTATGACGGAAGCTCTTAACAATATTGAGAAGAATATTCCCCCTGGTCGCGGTATCACTGTTAACCTGATCTACGTGAACCCGCAGGCTATGGGCTGGCAAATCCCTCTGATTAGCAAATTGCGCGCTAACGGCGTCCCTATTGAAGGTCTGACCATTGGTGCGGGTGTCCCATCCATCGAAGTAGCCAACGAGTACATCCAAACTCTCGGCATCAAGCATATTGGTTTCAAGCCTGGTTCAATGGATGCTATCCAGCAGGTGGTCAACATCGCCAGAGCGAACCCTACTTTCCCTGTTATCATGCAGTGGACCGGAGGGCGTGGCGGTGGTCATCATTCCTTTGAGGATTTCCATCAGCCAATCCTGCAGATGTACAGTCGCCTTCGGAGATGCGATAATATCGTTCTGGTTGCTGGTAGCGGGTTTGGCGGGTCTCAAGATACTTATCCCTACCTGACCGGATCCTGGTCGAGACAATTCGGATACCCTCCCATGCCCTTCGATGGATGCCTCTTTGGTAGTCGCATGATGACCGCTAAGGAAGCACACACCTCCAAAGCCGCTAAACAGGCCATTGTTGATGCTGAGGGCGTCGATGATAGCCGCTGGGAAGATACATATAACAAGCCTACCGGCGGTGTCATCACGGTTCGTTCCGAGATGGGCGAACCTATCCACAAGCTGGCCACGCGAGGTGTCCGTTTCTGGCACGAGATGGACCAGAAGATATTCTCCCTGGACAAAGCTAAGCGTCTGCCAGAGCTGAAGAAGCAGCGCGATTATATCATTAAGCGGTTGAATGCTGATTTCCAAAAGGTGTGGTTTGGACGTAACTCGCAGGGCGACACTGTGGATTTGGAAGATATGACATATGCCGAGGTCGTGCATCGCATGGTGGACCTAATGTATGTTAAGCATGAGTCGCGATGGATCGATGACTCTCTGAAACGACTCGCGGGCGATTTTATCCGACGGGTCGAGGAGCGGTTTACTTCAATAGGGGGACAGCCATCGTTGCTACAAACTTACTCGCAGCTCGACACTCCATATCCAGCTGTCGACAACATCCTAAACGCATACCCTGAGGCAGCGTCACAGCTAATTTCTGCACAGGATGTTCAGCACTTCCTCCTCCTCTGCCAGCGCCGCATCCAGAAGCCAGTGCCATTCGTCCCCTCCCTCGACGATAACTTCGAGTTCTGGTTTAAGAAGGACTCCCTCTGGCAATCCGAGGACCTCGAAGCCGTAGTGGGTCGGGACGTGGGCCGCGTATGTATCCTCCAAGGTCCTGTGGCTGCCAAATACTCCACCAAAATCGACGAGCCCGTCAAAGATATTCTCGATGGCATCCACAATGACCATATCAAGGGCCTCATCCAGGACGTCTACGGTGGCGATGAATCCAATGTCCCCGTCGTCGAGTACTTTGGCGGTCAGCTGCTGCTAGAAACCGATGAGGAGCGCGACATCGACGGCCTAACCGTCTCCGAAGACGCAAACAAAATCTCTTATCGTCTCTCTCCTTCAACCTCTGGCAGCCTCCCCGATCTCGACCACTGGTTACATCTGCTCGCGGGCAAGACATTCTCTTGGCGCTATGCTATGTTCACCGCTGAGGTGTTCATTCAGGGCCAGAAGTTCCAGACGAACCCGATGAAGCGTATCCTCGCACCAACCCCAGGCATGTTTGTTGAAATCCAGTATCCCAACGATTCGCGCAAGACCGTCATCAGCGTCCGCGAGCCATCCACCGCCGGCAAACTTGTCAAGACGGTCGAAGTGCGGACGAACGGTGAGCGGGAAATTTCCTTGACCTTGTTTGAAGGGCGGACTGCAGAGGCCGGAGTTGTTCCTCTCTCCTTCCGTTTCACATATCATCCAGAAACAGGGTACGCGCCCATTCGCGAAGTTATGGATGATCGAAATGACCGGATCAAGGAGTTTTATTACCGTGTTTGGTTTGGCGAACGGAATGTTCCCTTCGATACGCCTGCTACTGCAATCTTCGATGGCGGCAAGGCCACTGTTACCAGCCAGGCCATTGCGGATTTCGTGCACGCTGTGGGCAATACCGGCGAGGCGTTTGTGGATCGACCCGGGAAGGAGGTCTTTGCGCCGATGGATTTCGCCATCGTTGTTGGCTGGAAGGCTATCACTAAACCCATTTTCCCTCGCGTCATTGATGGTGATCTGTTGAAGTTGGTGCATCTGTCCAACGGCTTCAGGATGATTCCTGGCGCCGAGCCATTGAAAGTTGGCGATACTCTCGAGACCACTGCCCAAGTTAATGCGGTGATTAATCAAGACTCCGGGAAGATGGTTGAAGTTTGCGGAACGATTAGGAGGGAGGGCAAGCCGATTATGGAGGTAACTAGTCAGTTCCTGTATCGTGGGTCGTATAACGATTATGAGACTACGTTCCAGCGCAAGGAGGAGGTGCCCATGCAGCTCCATCTGGAGTCGACGAAGGACGTCGCTGTGCTGCAATCGAAGGAATGGTTCCGTCTCGATGAGCCTGATGTGGACCTTCTCGGCCAGACCCTCACATTCCGTCTGCAAAGTCTTGTCCGTTTCAAGAACCAAACTATCTTCAGCAGTGTGCAGACAATGGGGCAAGTGCTCCTCGAACTACCCACTAAGGAAGTTATCCAGGTTGCTTCGGTAGAGTACGAAGCCGGCACCTCCCACGGGAACCCAGTTATCGACTATCTCCAACGCCATGGCTCAGCCATCGAGCAACCCGTCCACTTTGAAAACCCGATCCCTCTCAGCGGAAAGACGCCACTTACCCTGCGCGCACCCTCGTCCAATGAAACTTACGCGCGCGTGTCGGGTGATTACAATCCCATTCACGTCTCCCGCGTCTTCTCCAGCTACGCCAACTTACCCGGCACAATCACGCATGGCATGTATACCAGTGCGGCCGTGCGGAGCCTCGTCGAGACATGGGCAGCAGAGAACAACATTGGGCGCGTGCGCAGCTTCCACGCCTCGCTAGTTGGCATGGTGCTGCCAAACGATGACCTCGTTGTCGTCCTCCAGCACGTTGGCATGGTGGCTGGCCGGAAAATCATTAAGGTCGAAGCAAGCAACCAGGCGACGGAAGAAAAGGTTCTGCTCGGTGAAGCCGAAGTCGAACAGCCGGTATCCGCATATGTGTTTACTGGCCAGGGTTCTCAAGAACAAGGAATGGGCATGGACCTGTATAATTCCAGCCCTGTGGCCAAGGAAGTTTGGGACCGCGCCGATAAGCACTTCATCGAGAACTACGGCCTGTCGATCATCAACATTGTCAAGAATAACCCACAGGAGCTCACGATTCACTTCGGTGGACCCCGCGGCAAAATCATCCGTCAAAATTACATGTCCATGACCTTCGAGACGGTCAACGCTGACGGCAGCATTAAATCCGAGAAGATCTTCAAGGATGTGGATGAGAATAGCACCTCGTACACCTACAGGTCACCTACGGGCCTTCTCTCCGCAACGCAATTCACCCAGCCAGCTCTGACGTTGATGGAAAAGGCCAGCTTCGAGGACATGCGGTCGAAGGGCCTAGTGCAGCGCGACAGCAGTTTCGCCGGACACTCCTTGGGCGAGTACTCGGCGCTTGCGGCACTCGCTGACGTGATGCCGATCGAATCTCTTGTGTCTGTTGTGTTCTACCGTGGTCTGACAATGCAAGTCGCCGTCGAGCGAGATGAAACGGGTCGGTCCAATTACTCTATGTGTGCGGTGAATCCGAGCCGAATCTCGAAGACGTTCAACGAACAGGCGCTGCAGTATGTTGTGGAGAATATTGCGGAGCAGACGGGCTGGTTGTTAGAGATTGTCAATTATAATATTGCGAATATGCAGTATGTTTGTGCCGGAGATGTAAGTTTTTACCCATTCATTCCACCATAGCTTTTTGCATCCCTTCTAACAATATTTCAGCTCCGTGCCCTCGACACCCTCACCAACGTCCTGAACGTCCTCAAAGCCCAAAAGATAGACATCACAACCCTAATGTCCACAATGTCCATCGATGATCTACGCGCCCACCTCGTCGAAATCATCACCTCCTGCTCCCAACTTACCAACTCCAAACCCCAACCCATCGTGCTCGAGCGCGGCTTCGCCACCATCCCGCTCAAGGGCATCGACGTCCCCTTCCACAGCACCTTCCTGCGCTCTGGCGTGAAACCATTCCGATCCTTCCTGCTCAAGAAGATTAACAAGACAACCATTGACCCGAGCAAGTTGATTGGGAAGTATATTCCGAACGTCACTGCGAAGCCGTTTGAGTTGACCAAGGAGTACTTTGAGGATGTGTATAAGTTGACGAATTCGCCGAGGATTGGGGCTGTGCTTGCGAATTGGTCGAAGTATGAAGATGGGGAGAAATAAGTGGTTTCGGGAGAGAAACAATGCATATGGACAGGGAAATTGGCACGGAAGACGTGGAAAATATGTTGGCGTTTATTTAATTTTTTTTTCCCTTTTCTCATGTTTTTTTTTGTGTTTATGAATGTTTCAGTTGCAATGGTTGTTTATTTGGTTCTTATTCCCAATACTTAATACTCTTCCTAACGGTTTTTTATGTTATGATTATTTTTGAGTTTGATTGTTTTCATTTTACACAGTGCCCTCTTCTCTTTTTGTGATTACCGTTTTGCTAGCTGTGGATTAGATAGATGGAATAGATTTACTGCGTAGATAGGTACGGAGTAGTTGGAAACCCAGTCAACCTTCTTTTGTCATACAATTCATATCTAACTAATCCGATTTTAAAACGGACCGGAAGATAGCTCAGTTTCTCAACGAAACGTGAATGGCAGGAAGGGAAACCGCCCATACATATAACCATAACTCTGATAAAATTTAAGATATAATTGTCCGAAATCGCCAATCTCCAGCCATCTGTCCTGGAATTCAAAGTAAAACCCATAATGACAAAATCATGATATGAAAGGGGCATATATGACAAGCTCTAAATAAAGGCCAGGCCACCCCCCTTATCTTTTCTCTGGAGCATTTCCCTTCCCGTTGCCTTGTATTAATCTCCTGCTTTCTATTTGTATATCTCCATCCCTTTAAGGGCTTACGATCACGATCCGTCAAAATCAAACAATGTCAAAAAAACCCAGACGCTTGCACCCACCCATGAACAGAGCATAAATTTTGAAGAAACAGGGGGAAAAAAAAAAACATACAAACTAAATTTAAAGAAACCAGCAGAGAGAAGAGAAGAGAAAGAGAAAAAAAAAATTCATCACACCGACCCCTCCTTCAAAACCCCAGGCCTCAACAACTTATCCTCCTTCCCATAAATACTCACATCCCGCACAATCGCGATGAACTTGCGATGATTTTCCTTCGAATCGCCGATGCGCGGGCGAAAGATCTTTAGTAGCTCGGCGCTGGCGATGCCCGTAGGCGGGATGGCGGAGTGAATTTCCGACGCGGTGGGGAAGGTGAGGTTTGCTGATGATGATAGGCCGGGCGTGGAGGTGCGGGTTGGTGGGGCTGTTGGGGGAGGGAGGATTGTGTGTTAGTATGGTGTGGATAAATATCGGGATCTTTTTTTTTTTTTTTTTTTTTTTTTTTTTGAAAAATAGAAATGTGCATTGAACATGAAATAAAAAGAGGGATGGGGAGGGGTAAATGGTTAGAGAATGGCATCATACCTGGTGAATTAACTCCAGAGCCAGGTCCTGTGCGCGGAGGTACAAGACCCGCAGGACTCCCCGCACGCGAACCCCGCGGTGTCCCCGTCCTCGACATGACCCCTGGCTGGTTGGGCTTGCGCTTCTTAGCGCCAGCAGCGGTCGAATCGCTCATTTCAGCAGCAGAGCCTATACCGCGTTCACCATCGCTGCCAGATCCAGACCCAGCTGGTCCGTTTCGGCTACGTTTCTTGCCGGCTTGGTCTGCTGGTACTCCTGGCTTGCGATGGCCAGAGGGGCCTGGGGACATGGGCCGCGAGCCGGGCTCGGCATCGGCGTGTTTGCTCTTGGGCTTTTTGCGGGAGGTATCTGTGCCACTGGCGTCGGAGAGGTTGGGGGAGCCGGGTCGTTTTCGAGCGGCGCGGGATGCGGCTTTCTTGTTGAGAGGGTCTGTGTGTTTGGAGCGCCCGGAGGGGGTATTTGTGCCCTTTGATGATATTCCGGAGTTCTTGTCGGATTCTTTGCCCTTTTCTTTCTTGGCGCGTTCCTCTTCTAGCTTTTGTTGTTCTTCCTTTAATCGCTCTGTCTCGGAATCATCCGAGCTCTGTGTAGGGGTAGATCGATTAGTTACGTTCTAAAGCAAACATGTAGTCAAAGATGAATATAACGTACCTCATCAGAATATGGATTGGCGTCTGAGCCACTGCTGTAGTCGAAATTCTTCTCTCTTCGTTGAAGAGCTTTCCGAACATGCTTGCCGAAATTCTTGAGGGCCTCCTTCTCCTTTTTCTCCTGATTCTCTTCTTGATCGTACATATGCTCATCTTTGAGGTCGAAGATGTTCGCCTTAAGCTGGTCTTCTTTTATTCTCTTTTCAGCTACCTTGGCATCTTCATCATCGTCAAGAATGCCTACATGTTCTTCATCATCGGCGAACCTGTCTTCCTCAAAATCCAGGTCATCTCCTTCAAAGCCTTCGCTAACTCCCGAAAATCCTTCTCTCCTACCAGTAAAGAGTCTACTTTGTCTCGCATAGTCCTCCAGCGCTTTCTTCTGGGCTCTATCCTGCTCCTTCTCCATGACCCACCGGGGATCCTTAGCCTTCTTCGCCATAAACTTCTCCGCTTCTTCAATAGTTAGAGTCTTGAAGGGCGTCTTCGTTGTAAATTTGTACCACCTGTCGAGGGGAACCATTCGCATCTTTCCGTCATTTTGAAGCACGAACATCGCATACGTTCCCGACATGGCGGCTTCATAGTTCCCAACCCAAGTGCCTTTATTATCGAAATCGTCAAGATGCCAGGGTAGCGCCTCCTCGTACTTGATCCGCGCTTTCGCAATTTCTGCCGGCGTCATCTCAGACTTGAACACCTGCTGGGTCCGCGGCTTCGGCGCGTTAGTCTTTTTCTGCGTAACAGAAGCTGACGGGGCAATTTGTGCCAAGTTTTCCGCCCGTTCCTTCTCTCTAGCGGCCTTCTTTGCCTCCAATTCCTCCCGCTCAGCTTCGTTGAGCTCGCCGTGCCTCCGAGGGTGCTGGTCATCCCTCTCCACCGCAGGACCAGTATTCGAAGCTCGAGGATCGCGTCGCTGCAATCTAACCGGCCGTGTGAAACTGGATTCATCTCTTGGATCTATGTTCTTCTTCGAGGCAAACTTTGCAACGTGGTGTTTCAATCCCTCTCTCCATGCGCGCTTAGTAGTAATCAACGGATAATCGACGTATGTCTCGGAGAGTAACGGTCCGCTGAATCCGTTTACTGTTAAGTCGTCCGCGCTGGGAATAGCAGGTTTGGCTGGTGCAGGTCTGGGCGCGGCTTGCGGAGGTCGTGGCTTTGGAGATCCTACTCTGCCATTCGTGACTGGCCCTGCTCCGGGCTGTCCTTGTCCTTGCGGTCGTGGGGTCCGTTTCTGCTTAGGTCGAACCAACGGGTCTACCTTGGGACGGCGGATTCTCATCGGCGGCCCAGGTTGGCCGGGAGGAGCTCGCCCCGGCGGAGGCGGATTGGGTGGCGTTGAGCTCATTGTTTTGAGATTCCGTGTCGCGAATAAGGTATTATCGAGAATGGGTACTGCTGAAGGAAGGGCGCATGTGAATTCAAAAGGAATCGTCGGTAGTGAATCCCATGGGAGCAAAGTTCAGGGTTTCGGGTTTGCTGCTTCTAGGCGGGAAGCTGCAAGTTACGTGATGCTTGGTATGAGCGAAGCCGCGAGAAACAAGCTCTATGAGTTAACTAACAGTCCTGACAACGACGGTATACTAACGAGGACAGATTTTGTATCGACACAACAACAAGAGGCAAACACCAACAATTATAGTTAATCTTGGTGGGATATGAAAGATGTTCGGCAATGAATGAGCTGAAAACAGACGCGGGTTTGATATCAGATCAGAGGGCAGGTCATGTGACCGGCTGCCGATGATGTCAGGCTAAACTCAAACCGGCAATTCTCTGTTGGTGATTACTACACCTACCCTAGTCACGTGCCACCCCAACCTATTTAGTGTAACTCGCGTAGTTAGATTACAACACAAAAACATTATCCTTCAAGAGGTTATGAAGCCCTTCACAAGCAACAAATAACTGCAACAATGTGCTAAATTGATGTCTCCATGTATCATTACACATGTCTAGATGTCTTTTATTGATTAATTGAATTCATGATGAACCTGAGATCAAGTGAAAAGCCTGACTTAATGAAGAATTATATGCTAATGTGTAGAAGAAGAAATTCACAAACATCTGAAGTATAAGAAGAATTGAGTATGAGTTTATCAACATCTGTAATAAATTGAAAAGTGACTGTCTCAGAGACATTTGAGCTGAATGAAATTATTATAAAGAAATAGTCTAATAAGTTCAATAAATATAAAGATCTGATTGAAGATATCAGTGAGATGTCAGATAATGCAGAGAGCTCAAGTGACTGAAATAACAATAGCTCAGTGAGTAAGAAGACTTGTATGAGACTTGAAATTGCAAGACTTCAGCATGAGATTGAGTGTATGAAGATCAGTAGAGATGAGACTCTTATAAATGATGAGATAAGAGTGAATCTGATAGAATATCTTCAATGAAAAGAAAAGACATCTGTTATAATAAAAGTTCTTGAAGAATTCAGAAGCTAAGTAAGACTTATTAAAAGACTAATAGTTCTCACTGAATTTATTAACTACTCAATATAAAGAGAGAAAATTCTTTTAACTGCAGAGCAGTCTGAAATCAATAATATTCTTAAAGATAATAATCTTAATAAGAATATTACTATGAATATGCAACATTTCTGAAAAGAATGCAATCTTTAATTATATAATTACATGTAATCTGCAATTACTCTGCAGATCAAGACTTATTTCACTATACTTAAGAAGTTCAAATTATCAGCTTATACTTTATAAACTATTATAGAGAATAACTTTTCTGAGAGATCTGCTATATATAGAACTCATTTATTTAAAGAGCTTATTAAAATAATCTTTAAAAGTAAAGAATCTGACAGAGCTTTCATTGAATATCTAATTATTATAAGAACTGATTATATCTGTCTAAAATATGAGATTTCAGATATTATATTTTTCAACAGACTGCTTACAGAAGTTAACAGAGATTGAGTCTCATTTATAAGAAATTGAATGAATTAAATTAACAAAGATAATACTCAACTCTTAGAGAATAATTTTATAAGCCTGTACTATGATATTCTTTTACAGCTCTCTGCTGCAAATGAAGTAAATACTGATATATTTAGAAATTCTATCAACAACATGCAAGATAAGAATAAGAAAGACAAGAATAAAGAGAAAGATAATAACAAGAATAAGAACACTGAATTCAAATCTGAATGTAGAGATAATGATGTGAGAACCTGCTATCATTGTTAAAAAATTGATTATATTCAGACTGACTATTGAAAGAAATACTCTGAGAAACATTCTTCAAATTTGAATTTCAACATCAATAGAAACAAGAATAAAGACAAGAATGCAGAGAATACAGATACTGCTTCTATTTATAATATTATAAAGTAAGTATTTTGCATTAAGAAAAAGACCTATGTAAGTGATCAGATAGAAAAAGATATCTGAATTCTAGACTCTGAATTGAGTGCTCATATCACATCTCACAGAGATCTTGTCATAGCAAAACCTCAGAAGATGAAAGTAATGTTGAAAATGACAGATGAAATGATAGTTCTAGCTATGACTATAGAGAATATCAAGATATCTGTTAAAGAAGTGAATATGCTGCTAAGCAGCATCTATTACATTTCAAAATTGAAAGTGAATCTTATAAGCATAAGTAAGCTTGTACATCAAGGTTATATCTTCAAATAACTGACATATGAAAATAATCATGTCATATTGCTTATGTCTTCTGATAGAATGTTCTCATTTACTGTAAGATTGAATGACAGAGATATCTATAAGATAGAAAAGCCAGTTATATACAGAGACTTGATCTGATTTGCTATACTCAATGATGATTTTAAACCTGTGAATATACTATAAATAAAGAGTAATGATGCAATATTAACACTATCTGACAAGAATAATACAAAGATTATGAAACTTACAATGATGCAATGATATTAAAAGCTAGAGTATCTGAATCTCATGAATATCACAAAAATGATGATGAATTCATGTCTGAGAATGAGAATTATAGATTAACAAGCTTTACTGTTTTACAAGATCTGTGTTTAAGTAAAAATGACATGTTTAATCTTTGTATCTATGATATAAGCTGTTAAGTCAGTAATGAGATTCTTCATTGATCTGGCAGAGAGTGGAAAAACACTTTTCAACAGAAATGACACTCTCACTAGAGAGAGTGTAAGCTACTGATTGAGTATAACAGATAATACAATCTGTTATAGATAAACAATTCTTATGATAAGAAAGAGAGAATCTACTGCAAGATTAATAAATTTCATCATAGATATTGAGATAACTACATAACATTGAGTTGAAATTCTACACTGAGATAATGAAGAAGAGTTTAAAAGTCAAGAACTTAAGATCTACTATCAGAGTAAAGAAATAGCATATGAAATGACTACATCTGATACATCACAATCAAATGACTCAGCAGAACATGTGAATCAAATAGTTGTAGAAAAGATACAAAGTCTACTATTTAATAGTGAATTAGAAAGAGAACTTTGAGATGAAGTAATACAAGCTGTGATTATGATGATCAATACATTCTTAACATCAACAAAGATATTTGAATGTAAGAAAGAAACATCACTTACATCTTTTGAAGTATGAACTGAGATGCAATCTTCTGTTCATTGAATACAGAGATGAGAGTGCAAGATCTATAAGAAGGATTTGAAAGTGTTAAATAAGCTCACAGATAGAACTGACAGCAAGAAATGATAGCTGATTGAATATCAAGAATTACATCAATATTGTGTGTGGAATTCTGTTACACATTGTCTTGAGATTGCATGAGATATCATATTTAATGAAGCTCTTGACATGAGTGTAAATACATCTGTAAATACAGTGAGAGAATTCAATGAATTATCTAATGAATTGAATATTCTGAATGTCAGAGAGAGATAACAGCACTGCTTACTATAATATCTTACAAAGAAAAAGTCAGATGTTTTGAAGATGATTGTAAATAAGAACTTAGAGAATGCAATTAATTCAATCTATCTTCTAGATAATAAGATACAGCTTGTTATGAATGAAGAGTCTGAAGACTCTGTTAATAAGAATAATTCTATTCTAAGTATTCTGACAGATCAATCAACTACACTGACAGAAGTCAAGAGAAGCTCAGACTGAAACTATTAACATGAGACAATGAAAAAGAAGATTAAGATATTTAAACAGAAGAAGATATATATTATCATTGAGAAGGCTCTGAAAATGAATATTCTTACAGATAAATGAGTATATAATCAGAAATTCAATAATAAGAGAGAAATCATTCACTTTAGAGCTCACTGAGTGATTAGAGATTTCTTGCAACAGCAGAGTATTTATTATACAAGATTATATACTGCAGTGATATCAGGGTCTACATCACACAGTCTATTCATTATATCAACTGTCAAAGAATGAAAGATCAAATCAATTGACTATATATTCATGTTTTTGAATGATATACTATCATAGAATGAGATGATCTATATACAACTGCTTACAGATGTAAAGCATAGCAGAAGAGACTTAGTAAGACTACTTTATCAGAGTCTATATAGAATGAAGCAAGCTGTGAGAGTATGATATTTCCTAGTAACAGAATATCTCATCATATTGAGATTCAAGATATCATCTTATAATGATGAATTTCTATATCATTCTGTTCACAAGATCTATCTGATATTGCATGTCAATGATTATCAGATGACAGAATCTCAAGAACAGTAATTAGACTGAGTATTGAGAGAGATTGTAAAGAGATTTAAGACAAAGAATGTTGAAGAGACTAAGTCATATCTTGAAATGAAGATCAAATGTCAGAGAAATAATAATCTAGTAGTTACACAGAGCTGTTATATTGAGAAGATTCTTGAAGATTTCAGTATGAACAAGATGAATCCTGCGGGAATCTCAATGATGACAGATATATAACTGAAGTTTTCACCTGATGAGGATGATGAATTGAATGATGACTTTACAGCTATAAGATATTATCAAGAATTGAGATCATTACAGTATTTAATCTCAAGCAGCTGGTCAGATCTGGCATTTGTGATCAACTATCTCTTACATTTTAACTCACATTCATACAAAGTATGTTGAGCAGCGTTGAAGCATGTTCTATGTTATGTCAAGAAGATGAAAAACTATGACATATTATACAGGAAGAAGATTGATGATGTGAGTCTGAGTTCTGTGATATACTGTGATTCAGACTGAGCGGGGGTGAATCTTCAATACAAATTGACTACTGACTATGTTATATTGATTAATGAGTCATCAATCTCATGACATTCACAGAGACAGACATCTATTGCTAAATCAATCACAGAAGCTGAATATATTGCAGCTAGCAAGGCAGCTTGTGAGATAATCTGATTGAATGATATGTTATATGATGCTGAGTTGATGAATGATGAAAAAGTGAAAATATACTTGCATCTATGAGTTGACAATAAGAGAGCAATTGATCTAGTAAAGGGAGAATTCTTAACATGAAGATCACACCACATTGAGATTAGATATCATATTCTTCACAATTTGATTGAAAAAGGAGAAATTATGATGAAATATGTTGGTTCTACAGTGAACATAGCTGATGGCCTCACCAAGCCACTGGTGAAGCCTGCATTTGAAGATTTTGTCAAAAGGGTTGACATTCAGGGAATTGAGAAGAAGGAATGATTGAATAGTAATGATGATACAGCAGATCAATGGATTTTGCATGTATTTCTTGATTTTTACAGTTATTGCTGTACGGACGCCTTTCCTAATGAGGAAATCAGGGTCCGATTGATGTAATTAATTATTATTGCATTTTTGAAAGATTTGAGGATGGGGGAGGCCCCGGGTGGTGGCTTATTGTTGGGGGTCCCGCGGTTGGTCGGCCCTTCTACCAGCAGGCGCTGGTGGTGATTGAGCTCTTTTGCCCCAGTAGCCTACAGGTTATGAGACCGTTAAGCGTGAGCCCCGCTGTGGTCAACATGCATGGGTTTGATCCCAGAATGGACTTAAAAATTCCTAACAAATACCCTGGACATTTTAACAGTGTCAAGAGACATCCCAGGAGTGTGCCCTAGAAGTCCTGTGAGCCCTAGGACTGACTGAGTCCATTATTAAAAAGGAGCCATTGTGGGGAGGCCACTGAAGGGAGCCACTGAGGGGAAGTACTGTACTCTGTGGTAGCTGGTCCGAGGGGGGGTGTTGGGGGTCCCGCGGTTGGTCGGCCCTTCTACCAGCAGGCGCTGGTGGTGATTGAGCTCTTTTGCCCCAGTAGCCTACACTTATAGACCACGGTGTAGCAAGGGGGGGGGGTGTTGGTGATTACTACACCTACCCTAGTCACGTGCCACCCCAACCTATTTAGTGTAACTCGCGTAGTTAGATTACAACACAAAAACATTATCCTCCAAGATTCTCAACCGCACCGAATTGATTTATTGATAACGTAATCCACCACCTTCTTCGTACAAGTAACAAACCACCTACTTTTATTTATTATTTGATAACTCTATAGTCAAATTTCACAAGAAGAAGATTGGCTGTTTCTCATACAGCACTCACTCGGGGAGGCTGACCGCATTCATCCATGGAAATTATTCACTGTACAAGGAGTCAAGGACTGACTCCTCAGTAGATAACAGCACACGAATGGGCTATGAAAGTTGACGGTTATACATCCTTTCACTCATGGGACAAAGAAGGAGTGGAGAAGGACTTGTGCCAACGATATACCTAGGTATCTATATATATAACTACTGTACGTAACCCAATCCTAACTTCGTAACTCATACCAGCATGTATCCTTCAAAAGGACGATGAACACCAGCTTGGGTGTAGGCCGTATACACACCCTCATAACCTATCATATCAGTTTCGTCTTCTATAGCCATGAATATCCTGGTAATCATCATACCACCCTTCCAAAAGCACCAATCTCACTCACATCTCCCCCTCCCCTCCGACTCCCCACCTTCCTGCATCCCCTTACACCAGTCCCCCCACCACCCCTTCAACCCCTCAACATCCCCTCCCCTCCCCACCTCCGCCAGAACCCCCCTCAACCGCCCCGGCTCACACACAAACCACTCCCGCCCTTTACAATCCTTCTCATACGCATTCAAACTCACCCCTTCCCACTCATGCGTCTTTAAACAGCGAAAGAGCCCCACCGTGCCCACCGGCGGGTTAAAAGCCGCCGCATCGACAAATACGCTAACAGACACGCCCAAGCGCTGCTGCTGCTGCGGCGCGGAGTGGCTGGAGCGCTGGGCGGTGCTAGTGATTGTCGGGTCCATGATGCGCAGATCGCGCTTCGGCGGCATATACGGACGCTTGATGATGTCGGGTGATATCCAGGATATCACGGCCAGGACGTCGCAGAGGTAGTTGCGTTTCGGTAATGGTTTGGCAGGGTGGAGGAGTTGGGAGAGGGTGAGGAGGTTCAAGGGCCGGGATATAGGTTTTAGGATGCCGCGGAGCTTGAAGTGGTAGCGTGTTACGGTGGCTGTGGGTGTAGGTGTGGCGCGGTCAGTTTGTCCATGAGGAGTTTGAGCGGTTGTTTGTGAAGGGGATTGCAATTGGATGGTTTCAGATGGCTGTGGATTTGAGGGGCTGATGTTGAAAGCTGGTAGGCTCTGTGGTTGGATAGGCTTCTCTTGCTCCTGCGTTGGAGTCGGGGTTCCCTGGTCGTCATTTGTACCATCCTGAATAGTTCCTGAAGTCGCATAGTCCCCAAACGACTGGCTTCCAGAGTCGAATACATCATCCAATTTTCCAGCTAGAAGCTCAGAAATCCCGTCCTCAACCAAAAGCCCAGCCTCTTCATTGGGACGAAGATCCGCTGCACCATCCACATCGCTAATCCGACACGCTTTCTCTCCACGTCCAAATCCCCCAGCACCACCACCATTATCCTCACCACCAATATCACCACCCCTCTTCCTCTTCCTCTTCCTCGCAACCACCCGTACCTCCACATCAACCCCCTCCCCCTCCCGCCCACTTCCACTAAACCCTATTTTCCTCAAACACCTAAACGCCCCCACAGCCAAAAACACAACCTGCCCCACACCTCCACCTTCCCCGCCGCCACCACCAATCCTCTCCGCCCACCTAATCTCATACCTCTCCAACCTCACCACAGCCCCAACCCGCACCTCCCCCGCCAACGCGAACGGATGCAGCGCCTTGCCCAGCAGCGCCTGGATGACCAGCTCGCCATCGCTGAGGAATACGCGATATGACCGGCGCGTCGGTCTCGCGGCGGTGGTGTTAGTGCCTGCGGTGGTTTCGGGTGTAAACAGAACCTCAATGACACGCTCGACGCGCAGGGTTAGGTCTGGGGGGTGGTAGCCTGTGCGCAGGAGCTCGGCGATGCAGGGGCGGAGTTCGGGGTCGGGCGCTGTGTTGTTGGTGGTGGTGGGTGGGCGGTAATCCTGTGATGGATGGGACAGGTTAGATTCTAGGAGGAAGGAGAATTTGTCTCATTTACTATTCACCGTACGTACCATGACAACCTGGTTGAATTCTCCATGGCGGAGGTTGGTGTTATTCGGCCTGCGTTTTCGGCATTGAGCAAATCATGGACGAGAAAGCATAGGAGTGAGTTTGGGGGGGGGAAACCTCCGGGATTTATCTATCACCAGGAAGGCTGCTGTTTCTGGAAATATACACGATTCCGCTAATCTTGGACCAACTTATAATAGATATCCCAAAAGTAGAATTATAACAAATCGGCTGATGACTTGCAGAAAATAATTTAAGTTCCGTGACGCGTTGGCGTAGTTAACTAGTTAATTAAAGTTGGTATCCGCGCGTTAACTTCATAGACGCGACGATTTCCGATAAGCGGGGGATTATCACACTCGAAGCTACACCGAGGAAATGGATTACGCGCTACGGATGCCTTTCAATAGCCATGTGCTCGATTCTTCCCAGTCGTACGTAGGTTGAACAGGAGTTGAAAATCAGATAAGAAGGAGGAAATGGAAAACCATCTATGAAAATTTCTTTCTATCTATCATCTATGTAAATGTATGTATAAAAAGAACGTACGTCAAAACACCTCCACAATCTCCTCATCCTCTTCATCCGCCCCCTTCTTCTCAAACTCCGCTTTCACCTTCTCCATCGTCTCCTCCTCCTCCCCCTTCCCCTCACCCTCCTCATCCCTCAACAGCACCTGCACAAGCCGATCACACCCCTCGCGCGTCCCCTCATCATCAACATGCAAATGACACTCCCTAATGATCGGATACACATTAACCGCGCGCATCAGGTCGCGCCCCTCCCGCGTCGTCGTCAGCAGCAACAGCGTCTCCAGATGCGTCGCAATGATATCCTTATCCGAGTCGCGCTGCTTGTCCGGCGGCAGCAGCTGCAGATCCGGCAGCATGGCCGCGCTCTCTTCGTCGGTGAACTCCTCGGGCCCCGCGATGGGCAGCAGCAGGTAGGGCAGGATGTTCACCTCCGCCTCCGCGAGCAGCTGCGGATGCGCCTGGATCTCAAAGGCGATGTTCTTCAGCGTGGACGCCACGCCCTTGCGGCGGATGTGGCTGCGGTGCTCGGTGAAGACGGTGAGCTTGGTGATGGGGATGACGGCGTCGTAGGCCTGGCGGGTGAGGAAGTAGGCTCTGCCGGCGTCGAATTTGGAGAGGTCGGCGAAGACGTAGGCGAGGTAGTCGTAGTTGGCGTCGGTGGCTTTGTTGATGGCGCCGTCCTGGCCCTTGATGAAGCAGTCCATGAGCTGGTCGAGGGCGTTGGGGGAGTCGGAGACGTCCTTGGGCACGCTGCGGGTGAGGGTTATGATGCGTTTGAAGCTGTCAGATTTGGCGAGGTTGGCGAGGAGCATGGTTATTTCGTTGGCGTGGGGTTCTTTCTTGTTCTGTGATTCTGTAGTTAGGTATTCGTAGTTATGGGTGTGTTTCGCATCTAAACTAGCACCTAAGCCGACAATGGAGGGGAAAGAATAATTACCGTGACTTTGCCCAGGAGGGTTTCTAGGAAGGCATCATCTTCGGCCAGCTCTTTGAGTACCTCCTCGTCCCCAGAGAGGTTTATCAATATCGTCAGGGCATTTTTGGCGATTGGCTGGAGGTCGTGCAAGGGGGTGTCAGTTTATCTTCTTAAACCCATTCAACTACACTATGCAAAAAAAAAAAAAAAAAAAAAAAAAAAAAAAAAAAAAAAAAAAAAGACAATGGTGGATACTAACAGCATAATCCCGAACCAGCAGTTTAAGATCCCTCACTGGCAGAAGCTGATGAACCTTGAACAGCGCATGTTGCGATATCGAATATCCAAGCAGATTTTCACATGCTGCACTTTCACACCCGTCAGCTAAATAATCAAATAACAAGCAAAGACGCAAATCGAGGGAAAAGAGGGAAGGAGAAAAGTAAGGCGCATTGCCAATTGCCAGCAGGTATAGCAGAAGGGCGGGGGGTTTGCACAGACGGACCTATCTGTCTTATCTGGGAGTTTCCATGATGAAGGAACTCTACAAGCTATATTATAGATACATAACGCGAGAGGCTCCCAGGTTAGTTCCAAAACACGTAACAGTTCTCCTCTTCATCGTAGCTAATAACGGTAATAGCGGGGAAAGGGGGAAGGGGGTGGGAGGAAGATCCCATACCTCCTCCAGTTCCGAGGGCATAAGTGCGGTGGTTGCCCGCTATAGATGCACAATTTCAGCGAAGGACGGGGGGAATTTGTAAATTACAGGGTTGTTGAGGATAGAGATTGGAATGGCGATAGTGCGCTGGCGGGGGGGTATTTGTTCATTGGAGAAATAATAGATTGATAAGTTAGTTAGTTATAAAAAAATAGCTGATATAAATAAATACAACTGTCGACTCTCGATATTTCGCTCTGAAATGCGAAAAAAATGACGCAGGAACAATTCGCTAGTTATTCTGCTTAGTCAGCCAGCCCTAGCCTATATTTATTTATTTATTTATTTACGAGGAAGTTCTTTACAGTAGTTATAATATTCCTATTTTAATCCTATTTTATCCTGTTCTATTCTATTTTATTTTATTTTATTACCTAGGTACTATCATATCATTCATAGCTGTTTGTTTCAACATTGTAGTTAACTACGTTCTTAATACTGATCTCTTCCAATATCATATCACCCACGTCGATAGGATGTAACTAATCCTCCTCCTTCTCCTCGATTAAAAATTCCCTTTGTCAATGAACCTGTCAGTCAACGCGCCCTCCGCCCAGTAACAGGATTATTTGGATGGATAGAATATTTAGATAGTACTTAGGCATGGAAGATGCATGGAAGGAAGGAATATTTAGCCCTCTATTTTGCTCTTCTAGTTTGTTACCCCCGAAATATTTTACACAGCATATATATATATATATATATATATATATATATATACTCAGCGTACGGAGTATATACTCCGCATATATATAAATATCAACAATCTTCCTCTCCTTTGCAATATATATATCAATTGCCAACCTCCTCCTCTGCTGCTAAATACATTTAATTCCATTGCAAAGGTTTCGTTCCTATTATAAATATCCCCCTGTCAGCTCCACCACTAACTAAATTTAAATACCAGCTCATCCAAGAAAAAAAACAAGCAATAGCTATAAACTCACCACACCAACCACCCCATCACCAACAGCAAATCGCAACAATGGCAACCAACGGCGTCAAGGTCCCCGCGCCCGATCTCCAGGAAATCCATGACTTCCTCATCGACCTGGCCACCCGCGCGGGAGAAGTCATCACCGGCGCAAAGCCATTGGTCCATGGCGTCGACTCCAAGAAGAACAGTACGTCTTCCAGATATTCTTTTCTTTCCCCGTAGAACTGTATAAACATCTTAACTTCTTGTTAACGTGTCAATTGCTGCGATCCAGGCTCCGATCTGGTAACGGAATATGACCGCGCTATCGAGGCTATGGTCTCCAAGGAGCTCAGGGCTAGATATCCCACTTTCGAGTAAGCTATTGATCTATCTATCTATCTATCTATCTATATATCCTTCGCTCGGCCACCACTAACCCTATTATTCCCTTTGTTCGAAACCCCAGATTCATGGGCGAAGAAACCTACCACCCCTCCAGCCCCCTCACCGACGCCCCCACCTTCATCGTCGACCCAATCGACGGCACCGTAAACTTCGTCCACGGCTTCCCAAACTCCTGCATCTCCCTCGGCCTCGCCATCCGCAAAAGACCCGTCGTCGGCGTCGTCCTCAACCCGGCCACCAACACCCTCTACTCCGCCATCGCCGGCCGCGGCGCATTCCTCAACCGCACCACCCGCCTACCGCTCAAGGGCCCCGCGCTCGAACCCCTGCGCGGCCTCAGCAACGCCCTGATCGCCGTCGAGTGGGGCTCCGACCGCGCCGGGCGCAACTGGGAGACTAAGCTGCGCACCTTCGAGCGGCTGGGCAAGAGCCGCGAGGCGGGCGGCGCGATGGTGCATTCCATGCGCTGCTTGGGGTCCGCGGCGCTGAATATGTGTGCCGTTGCGGCGGGCGTGCTGGATCTGTATTGGGAGGGCGGGTGCTGGGCGTGGGACGTGTGTGCCGGGTGGGTTATTGTGACGGAGGCGGGCGGGATGGTTGTTGATGGGAACCCCGGCGGGTGGGAGGGGGCGGTTGATGGGCGGAAGTATCTTGCTGTGCGCGCGTCGCCGGGTGGGGAGGGCCAAAGGGAGATTATCGAGGAGCTTTGGGGGCATATGGTCGGGACGTTTGATTATTCGGAGTAAACAATGGGGTTCTTCTTTTCTTTTTCCCTTGTCTTTCTATATCCACACGCTCTCCCGCTTGCCAAATCATGATGCAATTGGGACGGATAGAATGGTTTGGTCATGGTTTTTATGTATATGTTCACTCACTTTCACGCCTTTTAATTTCTAATTTGATTTTTTCTTTTTTCTTTTTTCCTTTTTCTTTTTTTCCTTTCCTTTTCTCTTTGGATAGAACCAGTCGTTTGTTCTAGATTAGTTACGGCTGAGAAAATCTACCGGATAAAGCCAATAGAATAAAAGTTTGTCCTTCATCTTTTCGAATATTTAAACGGCTAAATATTGTATCTGCGCCAGTTAAACTGCTGGATTATAATAGCTGGACTGAAGCTGGAGCTGCAAGTGTCATTAGCCAGAGCTGTCCTTGCTGTTTCTGAAGAGTCTGTTTATTTATCTGCTATTAATATGCTCCCTTTACCGATATGAACAGGAGAGCGATACAACCTCCTCCACGAAGTAAACCTAAATGGACAAGAAGCAGCAATAAAGAAGCAGAGACACAGACACAGACACAGACACAGACACAGACAACACAGCAACCAACTAACAGTCATGTTTCGATCCGGATTCTTGTTTCTCCCTTTTGCCCTCTCATCGTTCGTGAAAATAACCATCACAATAACCACTAAACTTGCTCACTGGACTGACTGCTGGTGATGATGATGACATGACAATAATGCTGATGATATCGAAGAGACGCGGTTGAATTGGCCAGGGCCGCCAGTACAAGTGCTAGGCTAAGGCATCCCTTCCCTCGTCTTGCCAGCTGGCCAGCAGCCGTTGGCTCTCTCTCACTGCGAGCCTGAAAGCGTGGCATGCAAAGCTACCACATCCACATCCATCGCTCGCCGCCCGCCCTGCTTCACCACCTTTTCATTCGGCTTTGCCCAATGGAGCCCTATCTTCCCTTCTCCATTTCTCTTTGTTCTATCCTTGAATAAGTAAAGTGAGAGAGAGAGAGAGAGAGAGGGATGCCACCGCTCTACCTATAGCGGGAACCGAGCGGTTGGGTTGCGATTTGGGCAGGGTGTTCTATTTAACCATTTGCCATTGAAGATTTGCTTTTCTTCATTGCCCGTCATCGTCATCAAACCACCAACCCCCCCCCCCCCCCCCCTTTTTTTTTTTTTTATTGCTTTTCTTTTCTTTTCCTGCAACCGGACCTGTCCACATCTCAAAATGCGAACAGTTCATGCAACCCTCGCTGGCTGCCCGGGTGGTTGTGACATGGATGTTTTTCTGTGGTGGTGCTGAGGGGGGTGAGCGCCTCTATGGCCCAATTGCGGCATTCTCTCCCGTTTTCAGTATGCCGGATTTCTTTACACCTACAGAGAAGCTTTCGGACTGGAGGCTGGAGGGATGGGTGGGTGGCATGAGGGATGCGAGATATTAGATGTGAGAACCTGAGGGTTCAATTGCTGTTTGTTTTTTACTCTATACGGTTTTGCCGTTTTACCTTTCTACTTCGCTGCTGCTAGTATTGACATACTCCTCCGGGCAAGCTGCTTTCCTGATGATAGATATGAGGAACGAACTTCTCTGAGAAAAGCACACGAATCTTTTTCAGTTCGCATTCGTTATAGTTTCACCCAATTTACTAGCAATGAGGTCCAAGGATGGAAACGAGAGAGAGCTACTCTACTCCAATAATGCTTACGAATTCGCGACCTATATAAAGATGGCTCCAATCATCCGGCATCTATTTTTCTTCGCTACATCAAGCAAAGCTGCAGGACGGACGGCCAGTTTGGGTAATAAGATAGTGCGCACTACGGCGAGTTCTGAAGCGGAACAGCACCATCATCAACACCACCACCATCATTCACGCCGATCTAAGGAAGGTGAGGAGCATAAACGCCGTCGGCGCAAGTCTCAGCGGACCCATTCTACGGAGGAGAACCCCCAAAAGCCCGCGCGAGAAAGCCATAGGACGGCCAACGATGTCGAGGCTCCTAGGAGGAGCCAATCTCGCAGATATCGTTCGTCGTCAGTATCGATACCCGTGGACCTAAGCAATGGTGGAGCCCCCCGTTCAACGACGTCTTCTAGATCCAGAGCGAAAGCGTCGACACACAGGGACCCCCCCAATCGAAGCGCTACGCAGCGCGCCGTTGCGGATTCTTGGACAAGACACAACAAACCTGGCCCCATATCCCTCCCCCTTCGGCTTGGAGAGCAATCGGACCGGAAACTTGCAACCAAGGCGCCCAAGTCACCCGCCATCAAGAATAGGTCTGAAAAACGCTTGTCCACTGAAAAGAAGGGTAAAAGGGGCACGGGGTATAAGAGAACCACGTCTTCCCCGTCGGTGCCAGAAAGGACGTGAGTACCATTTCTCTATTTGTTCGACCATGAGACTCTTCTCTCCTCTTTTTTATGATTGTGTTCTTTTTATTCCCGATTTGACCCTTCAAATATAGAGTGACATGTTTAACGTGTCTCGACGACATCCCCGTGAGCAAGGCCGCCCAGCTCACCTGCTCCCACAGCATGTGCGAGGACTGCCTCAAGCGCGTATTTACCATGTCCGTGACCGACCCGCAACACATGCCTCCCAAATGCTGCACGTCAGACCACATCCCCCTCCGGCACGTCGACAAACTCTTCGACGTAGAATTCAAAATCAAATGGAACAAGAAATACCAAGAATTCACCACCGAGAACCGCTTATACTGCCCTACCAAGGATTGCGGTGAGTGGATCAAGCCCAGCCAGATCCATCTTGACACCAGCGGCGGCGCCACAGGCGGCCGCAGATACGGCATATGCGGGAGCTGCTCCACGAAAGTCTGCGGGCTCTGCAATGGCCAATGGCACACGGGCAGCGAGTGCCCCAAGGACGACGAGACGAGACGCTTCGTCGAGGCCGCCAGGGAAAACGGCTGGCAACGTTGCTACGGCTGCTCGGCCATGGTCGAGCTGACCGAGGGTTGCAACCACATGACCTGCCGCTGCGGCGCGGAGTTCTGCATCATATGCGCCGCCCGGTGGAAGACGTGCGCGTGTCCCTGGTTTAACTACAGGTATGTCCCCGAGCTAGACGCAGACGACGGGGTTCCCCGGCCGCAGGTCCAGCAGGAGCATCACGCGAGGGATTATGAGCAGGACCATGTGGACTATTTCGCCGCGATCGCGGCTGCCGCTGCCGCTGCGGCTTTTCGTAGGCAAATTCCTGGTGGTTTCGCGGCGAATCCAGATGAAGAACACCTCCAGCCGGAAGGCATACATGATCCACTACCGGCCGGGGTCAATGGCAATGGGGGCTTTATCGACCCGTTTGAAGAAAGGGGTGATGGCGAAGCTGCGCCAGCTCGTCCGATTCCCAGGCCTCTCCAGCGACAACAACCTGGTGTGCGACGGTATGATGAGAATCTGTTTTATCCTTTTTAGTGGCATAATGTGCGTTTGGAACGGCGGTTTCTCCTGGGGGGCGGAGAGCTGACGCGTGTGCTTTGTGGGATTGGAGAAGGGATGGCAGATCTGGGGTATTCGGGGTAGATTGAAATCTTTTTGAATGAATGCTTATTGGTCTTTTAAATAATAGCATTTTACTCCTTTTTTTTTTTTTTTTTTTTTTTTTTTTTTTTTTTTTAATTTCCTCCACAATGTGACATAGACGGCGAGCACAAAGTACCGCCCCCGGCTATCCCGCGGTGACATGAAAACAATCCCACAGTCATGTCCATTCCCTAATATCTTTGCAGCTAGAACTCGTCGGTTGCGATATGATATCCCATCTAAAGATCTAGGTACCGCGGCAATTTGATTAGTCAGGCGCCAACTTTTTCCGCCCCGCGAGCTCTCACATCCGATTCCTACTCGGCGTCATATATATGTACATAACAATAGTGGTTCTTACTGATTAACACTAACAATTGTATGATCTCGCCAATCTGCAATCATGTCTATCAGACTAGGTTTTCTTTCAGACTTTACGCAGGCTCGATATGTGATTCATCTTTCGGATGGTAAACGGCTGGTGCTCTTCCGTTTACCTTCAATTGAGCCCTCCGCATCCGGATTCACATCCACGGCCACAGCCACAGCCACAGCCACATGCACACGCAGGGCCAACGAAACGTCAGATGGATGGTCGTATTACGCTATGGAGGCAGAATGCCCTCATGCCGGGGGTCCGCTGGAAGAATCCCACGTTGATATTGAAGATTCCGCCTACGTGGTGTCATGTCCCTGGCATGCGTATGACTTCAACGTGGAGACGGGGGAGTCGAGTGTTGGGATTAAAACGTGCACGTTTCCGGTGGAGATTACGGATGAGGGTGTGTTTTTGCAGTATAGCTTAAGCGGCGTGGTGCTGGGCAAGGTAGAGCCTGTCAGCGAGAAGGTCATGTTGAAGAACCGCGAGAAGCGCAAGAAGAGGAAGAAGAAGAAGCAGCCTGAGGCCACGGCGGCTACGATTGATACTGATATCGATATGTCCACTGCAGCTTCTGAGGCTATGGATGGAGGAGTCGAAGAAGGCGAAGAAGTAGAAGAGGATGCCAACAGTATCCCTCACTATCTTGACGAACACGCTACATTCTGCGATTGGGCTGTCCACATCCTAAACACAGCCAATCCAGAACACAAAATCGAACTAACCACCCATCTCTTCTCTCTCTTCGCTCAAAAGGAAACCTCTCCCACCCCCATGCCCCTAGGGCGGGGAACCGTGGCTCCTCCAGACCAGCCGCCCCGCCCAGAGAACCTATCCGAAGTCAACCCCTGGGAAACCCGCAAACCAGGCCGAGGCGGCAACCTCAAAAGCCGCATCGCCATGCTCCACGCGCTCGCCAACATCGAGCTCTGGGCCATCGATCTCGCCATCGACATCTGCGTGCGCTTCTCCGCCTTCCAAACAAACACAGATCCCCAAAAGCACCTCCCCCGCACCTTCTTCCACGACTTCCTCAAAGTCGCCGCGGACGAAGCGAAACACTTCTCCCTCCTCCGCGCGCGCCTCGAGCAACTAGGCTCTCACTTCGGCGCGCTCCCCGTCCACCACGGCCTCTGGCTCTCCGCCACCGAGACCGCGCACGACATCCGCGCGCGCATCAGCATCATCGCGCTCGTGCACGAGGCGCGCGGGCTAGACGTCAATCCCATGACGATCCAGAAGTTCCGGAATGCAGGCGACGCGGAGAGCGTGGCGACGTTGGAGATTATTCATAACGATGAAATCACGCATGTTACCACGGGGCATCGGTGGTTGACGTGGATTTGCGAGCAGGAGGGGACGGATGCGGTGCAGGTGTTTCGGGAGAATGTGAGGAGGCATTTCAAGGGGGCGCTTAAGGGGCCGTTTAATGTAGAGGATCGGGAGAGGGCGGGCATGGATAGGAGGTGGTATGAGGAGGGCGGTGGTAGTAGTAATCCTAACGTGGCGGTGGTTTCATGAGGGAAAAATGACATGCGCGAGAAACGAGGATATGATTGATTGTGTTGATTGAATGGATGAGGAAAATGAACGCCTTGTCTTCATCTCAAATTATTTTTATGAATCTATTCGCATACATACATACCCTCAAGGTTAGGCGTATCCTCATACGTGCTGTCAGCGAACAACGAACCCAGGCTATCTAGCGATGTTCCGCCGCAAGCCATACGATACAACATACCCTACCATCTCCGCACCAATATGTCCCGCACAAGAACCGCACGAAATTCTTAACTAGGGGTTCTAGGGGGTTCGTGCTGAAAAAATTCGAATTTCGACTAGGGCTAAGCCGTTGCTGGTTTATTGCTCCACGTGCTATAAATAACACTGCATTCCTAGCTCCGTCTTCAACCTGCAGTAATACGGATCTTGCATACAAGAGCCTTAAGGCCAGCCCCTCCCAGGCCGGGGTGGGGGCGGGATTGTCCATCCACGTTTGTGGCGGCCAGACACACATAGTTACTGTGGCATGCATATATCAGTGGGGCAACTACTCTTGACGTTATTGGGGATGAAATGCTTGGTGCTTTCGCATCCACGCAGCCAAAAATGTAAGGACTCAACACAACCCTGCCGCTTGAGTCAAATAGCTGCAGTACATCGCCTATGAGCCTTTACATGATTGCGCTCTTAGCGTTTCGCCCACGATTTCCTTCCCGGCTCCAGGGACGAACGGAACGAGGATATTTTTAGAAACTGCTTCGTCCCTTGAGGAATCTCGCCGATTGAATTGGTGAATCCGGGCCGCTGCCGAAACTAACAGGATAAATGTTGCTACTTTAACCCAGGCGACGACAAGCGCCTCTCAGGGCAGGGTTATTAGCTTGAGCTAGGGACCGATGGTGTTTTTGTAGTAGTTTGCGGTTGGGCGTCGTCTGCCACGTCGAGGCCGCCGCCCTTCGTCGACTGGAATGAAATTTGTTTTTATTTTTATTTTTTTATTTTTCGAACTGGGGAGAATCAAGCCCCGGTTGGAGAATTGAGGTGAAATTGTCACAGCTATAAGATACACAGATATCCCGTTGGGATTTTTCTGGAAGCATCAGTGTGCAAATAGAAGCACCGGTTAGTGTGTCTACGAAATTATTGGCATAAACCAATCCCGATAACTATCCATACCTCTCTCCCATTATTGTATCCGGCCCCCTCGCGACAAAAACTTCACGGGCTCAGCAATGGCGCTTAAAGCCATCAAGCTGTTAGTTCTCACCCTCATCACCCTCCTTGCGATCAACGTACACGGAGTGCCCTCCCCATCCCTGGCTCCGCGAGGGAAGGCCGATATCCTGCTGGAGATCCTAAAAGCAATTGGAGTCTTCACTGACGACAAGAGCAACAAGTCATGGGTGAGATATGCGTTCCGTACAAACTCACCATCAACTCACCAATCCTCCCTCACCCATCTGCACAACCGTACTTTTCCCATGTTTTAACATCTACAATCTAACCCCACTTCCCTCGCGCAGGACTTCCACCGCAACAAAGAAATGTGCGAAATCTTCTTCAGCACCCGCGACGGCGGCCACTGCTACGCCTCCGTCGAGTGCCAAAATGGCGGCAAGCGCAAATACAAGATCTGGAACGTCTGCTACGTCGGCGGGCGCCAGTACTTCACCGACCCGCGCATCGGCAAGTTCTCCATCACCTTCACGATGCGGGACGGGCGCGAGGGCCAGGGCCTGACGGAGCCGATACTGCAGGTTGCCTCGGTGGGTCGCTGGATGAAGATCCCCGTGTCGGACCTGGCGAAGAATCATCGATCGGCGGTGAGTTGTGAGAATAATTATATTCCGAAGAGGTGCGATGAGGGCCCGTTTGTGTGTCGGTATGTGTTGAGGGGAAATAGGAATATTTCGAGGGATCGGACGAAGAGGTATAGTTGCGGGGTTCCGGTGTTGGGGGCGAGTTATCCAAAGGATGTTGAGTGGGAGTAGCTTTTTTTTTTTTTTTTTTTTGATGTGGATTTGGAGTGGGTGGTTGAATATGCGTGTTTTACATTAAATACATCAACATGAAGATAGATAGTGCCCAGTGTATGTGCAAGTATGTACTGTATATGTACTGCATAATCACAAGGAACCAACTTATTAAATAATAAATGACAAACCCAATACATAATCTTGGAAGAAGAGAAAGCAAGTGGAGCAAGAAAAGTAAATGATTCTAGGAAAAATGGAAAGGAAACTGGAGAGGACCAGCTAATATTAGGTTATACACAGATGCTAGAAACAATGTAACTAGCACATCTCTGCACAGTTAAGTAAGTTCTGTTTCTGTCCTCACAACACAATGACGGAGTATGTAAGGGAGAAAATGTACATGTACGTTTATGAAAAGAGCAAAAGCTGGGGTATCGAGGAACCCACAAACAGCAAATAAACCCCAGAACGCCCCCAAAAAAATAAGCCCAAAAACCCCCAAAAAACCTACCGGACGTTAAATGCATGATTCCACAGTAACTGTATTTTCAACTCTAATTCTAAACCATTAATTGCCAACACCACCGGACGACCCAGTAGCTAAAAACGCCGTGATCTCCGCCTTACTCGTCCCCTTCGCCTCGGCATCATCCTTCGTCGTCACTGTCGTCGTGGTCGGAGACCCGGTCAACCCATTACCCGCAATAACATCGTCATTATCAGCAGCTACCTGTTCATTAGCAACTACACGAATCCCGCTACCCGTAAAATGCGCTTCGTCCTGAGAGTCATATCCCTCGCCGTCCTCGTCGTCGAAATACCGATCCGTCCACCGAGAGGAGTCTGGATGGGAGGTCTTTGATTGGGAGGATGATATGCGGCTGACGGAGCTGACGGGTCGGTGGGCGTCGCTGGTATTATTTGTAGTGGCGTCGTTCGTGTTGGTATATGGCACTATGCGCGGTGGGTTAATTTGGGAGGAGATGGGGTGTAGTTCGTCCTTTGCCTCTGATGATTCGGATAGTTGCTGGCTCTCGTGTTGTGCTTTCTCGATAGTTGGTGTTGATGGGTGACCTGGTGGATCAACTTGGCCAAGAACTTCCTTACCAGACTCCGAGGGGGTGCGGCTTGTTAGCACAGCGCGCTCGGCACCGCTTTCGAGCTCGTCCGCCGTCCTTGCGGTGATGGTGTTTGCAAAGTGTGTGTCGACGAGATGTTTGACGACGGGCCAGCCATAGGCGTTTGCAAACATACGACGGACTATTATATTATTGTGTGCGTCAGGTTCGAGGCGGACAAGCACTTTGCGCCAGGATAAGTCTCGATGATAGGCGCGGGCGATTTTCTCCTCGACTTTCATGCCGCTCGTCGTACCAAGAACTGAATCGGAGGAGGTATGGATTGGTTGGCTACTGGGTGGGTCATGTACACCTTTCGTCGGGCTGGTGGGTGAGGGAAGGTTGCTGGTGCTGGAAGTTGGGAAAAAGCTGCGGCTTCTTATTGGAGGGGGCGGGGGTATATCGGATGGATGGTATACGCGATCATGGAAGATAGTCCTTGCGCGGGTTGCAGGGTTCAGAATATACTCTGTTGATGGCAGAGGAGGTTTAAGGACATCCCCAGCCGCTTCTAGAATTGTTGTTTTCGGCGGAGCGTGGTGGCCTTCATCCTGGTAAAAGGAATCTCCCCTAGCGAGCCTAGTACGTGGTGAGTCGGATGGACCGTCTGTCCATGGGGTTTCAGCTGTTTCATCATTCCGGACAGTCTGGATCCGTTTATAGATTTTTGCTCCTTTGCTCTGATGGCTGCTTTTCCCCTGTGCTTTAAACAGGGAAAGGAAACTGGAGAATGGATTCGGTGAGGAAGGTGGAGCCGGCTTGACTAGATTCGTACCATGCGATAGTTCTGTGTTGCTCGCTCCAGTTAAGAACTGAGACGGCTTGGGAAGTTCTGGGGTAGTTTCGAGACTTCCATTTAGGGTTCTTGGGCTATCTCCCTGTGATTTGGGAACTTCGCTCTCTCCTTTCTTAGGTGAGCTGACCAACTTTCCATTTTTAACCTTGTCGTCTTCGCTGTCCCCATTGATAGAATTTGTAGGCATGGAACCTGTAGGGCGTTTGGTTGCTCGAATTGAATTTGTGTTAACATTAGCCCCTGTAATCTCAGCCCATCCCCATTCCGCCATAGTTCCGACCAGACCATTTTCCCGCCGGGCTTTCTCAACCCGATCTAGGCCCCTCCAATCAAGGAAAAGGAGACAAGAGGTTCGAAGTGGAACAATTCCATCATTTACAACGTTGGAGTACACGGTACGATTCCGAAATTTCTTGAGCACCTGGTGAGCAGGGCCGCTGGGAAGAATCCTCAGCAGTGGCTTTGACTTGGGATCCGGTTGATGGCTAGACTTGGGAGAATCATTTCCCAATCCTCCTATCATCGCGCCCCATCCACTTCGCATTTTGGAGGGGGCAGTCCATGACAGACCGAGGTCTTGGCCGGTGCGACCGACGAGTCCAAAATCCAAAGCGAAACGAACATAGATCGGGTTTTCATTGCTGAGTCCGAGAAATGGAGACGCAAGAGCAACGAAATTTACAGGCTTGATCCGGTCAAAAAATTCAGGGGAATGTTTTTGAATATAGGCAATTGCATACGTCTGGACGAGGCCACCAAGTGAGTGGCTTATAAAACTGATACTCGTGATCTGGTAGGCATAATCCTTTTTCTTCGGCTCCGGGCGGTACACTGTACTCCCAGAATGGGAAGCATGGTCAAGGGGACCGGCTACATCTTTGTTGCCAGTAAATGCTCGGAATTTGCGGCGGGATTCTTTGATGGGAAGATATGGCTGGTCTGGGTAAGTCATAAGTAGCACATATTTCGCGAGCCGTTTACCAAGATACTGGATGCCTCTTTCGGTGCGGACGGCATTTCCTGGAAATCCTCGAACAATGACATGCTCGTCATCGTCGTCATCATCTTCTGAGGCTTCTCGCGTTCTATCTATCGGAGGCATATCAGAGGTCCCCTCTCCAGGTACAGCTAGGTTGGGGGATTGCAGATTCTTGTGCTTATTTCGCTCTTTCCGCGCATCTTCCCGGGCCTTCCTTGCGGCAGCATCTATACTCTCTTTAAGATATAACATGTCGGCCCCTAGATTACTATGGAGCCCATGCGTCAGGACGACGAAATGTACTTTCCTCCGTTTCTTTCGATTTCCCTCGTCCGCGGTTGAACTGGCTTCGGAATCTTTCTGGGGCTCCGTAGCAATCTCCGTCTGTTCCATTTCCAGTTTTCGAAGGTCTTCCTTCTCACTCCAGGACGGGAATCGCGGCGTACTCCAAAGGCTTGCTGTGTCTTCAACAACGAGGTTGACTGCAGTGGAGTATACCCCCTTCATTTGGCCTGAGGGATTCTGATGTTTGCTCTCTGAGCCACGTCTGGCCAGATCGCGGACATGACCAGGAGCGGGCAAGCTCGCCGAGCTCCCCATTCCGAGTTCCAAAGACTTCAAGTCTCTCCCAACGAGGACTTCAAAGTTTACAGCCGCTGAGGTCGAAAATATCACCTGCGATGCGATTTCGATTATCCAAGTCACACTCTGCCCATCTGCTGCAAGAGGTGACGGCGAGGCGCTCTCCGGCACCGGAATCACCGCGTCGAATGCCCCTCCCGCCTTCAAGTTTGGTTCGAATTGCGGAAGGCCGCGGGTTTCATGGTCCTCATATTTCCGGTTTGGATCGAAGGACGAAGGGTAGCACGAGGTATATAGAGTGTAAGGGCCGTGCAAATATGCGGCGCGTAGAGGTATTGCAGAGGTATTTCTAACTTTGACGAAGAGTTCCGCGGGTGTGGGGAGGATGCGATCTGCGGAAGGGGTGTATGTGAGCGTAAACCTGATTGTTCCGCATCAGCATGGGATAATTTTTACTATTATTATTATTCTTTTATTCTTTTGGTTTAACACAGCCAAGATCATACCGGACCACCTCCCCCACACGAACACTGCCAACCTGGTGCATCAACAACATATCCGCAGCTCGTTTGTAATCCGCTGGCTCAACGTCCCAGCCGGTCAGCGCATGGAAGGTTGGGTGGTAGGAAGAAGGCGATCGCGAGCCGTTATTCGGGGTCTGGGCGAGCCGGTAAACTCGCGGAGTAATAAGCATGGAGAACGTTGCGACAACCTCATAAACTGCGGAGATGACGTTGCCAAAGCAGGTTTAGAGTTGTCGGCACATGCTTTAGAGTCGGAGGTTGGCAGGGATAGAGCACTACTACTAGCTGGACGGTCCAAAGTTATTATTGTTCTAGGTGGAACGAGGGCAACCACCGGGAACATCGTCTAGCAGGGACAGGGGCGTAACTTGTAAGGGGGTTAAAAACAACGAGAGTAGGATTGTGCAGCTCATGCGACGTCTTTTCTCCAGCGTCAGAGTGAGTGAGGATGAAGAAGAATGAAGGAGGTGAGACTGCGGAAGAGGAAGAAACGACGACGTCCAAGTCAACGATTAGTTACCGATTAACTTAACTAGGGAATTAGGGCTTCCATTTCCATGTGACAAGCCAGCCCCTGTATTCGGATTACGCTCGGGCGGTGTAACGTAACTAACTATTGTAAATTACCGCGCATCCATCTCAATATTACAATGACGTAGTTAGTTCTTGTTCTTCAGCAAACCTCCGCCGTTTCTCCGCCGTCATTCCGCCGTATACACATTTCCGCTCTCCGCTCTCCGCCCGTTGCTTGTTCTACCGCCATTCTTTGCTGATAGATAATAGGTGAAATCCTGCTAGTATAATTCTCCGGTGCATGTCTGTAGTCTCGGTATTCATCTTCAGCCCGCTCTCCTCTTACAGAATAAAGGGGCAGGGCAGGTCAATTTCAGGGGCAATGCATGGGTGTGCGAGACCATGCTCTTGTTGAAGTGGAACAAAACAGCCAAATGCTTCAATGGTGCTCACGGTTGCGGAGCTGGGCTTTTACCGGATAAAACTGCTGTTCAACGCTTAATTAAATCTTTCCGATATAAACTCCGTTCCAAGGCTCCTCGATGTCCGTCGTTAATATCGATGGTGTATATAAAGGATCTACAACTATACCAACTACTCTCTAACCTCAAACCAAAATATCATCATCATTTGTTAATTAACGTCCCTCCTCTCACCATTATCACCACCCAACCCTCTTCCCGCGGGCACAACCAACCTCACGACCTCCCTCTTCGCCTTCCTGACTTCCACCCACCCCCCATCCTCCACAACCACAATCATGCCATCAATACAAATCCGCCTCCACCTCTCCTCCACCTCCCCCTCACAAAACTCAATCCTAACAGCCTCAACCTCCTCATACCCAACCACATCGCCCTTGTCCACCACATGCCTACCCCCATCGTACGCCAATTGCATAACCTCCATCACAGTCCCGGCCTCCATGGGCCCAAAATGCACAAACCACATCTTCCCATCCAGCGGCCTGGACGAGGGCGATATCGTAAACCCCTTTTCCAGCGTCGAGCAAAGCGTGACGAGTACATACATATGCTCGCTCCGCTCAAGCAGGCGCGTCCGTAGCATTTCCCCTCCCGTAGTTGCATCCGTAGTTCTCGTCGTGACACTGATCCGGCCCCGATAGACATGCGGCTTCCCTCCCCCAGCCGGAAACAGCAGCTCCTTCGCCGCCATCTGGAACCTCTCCCGCCCAAAACGGCGGTACTCGGGCGTATCGCTATCCGCAACGAGAGACGCATGCATGCCCCAGCTAAGCACAACGGCACCATAAAGTTCCGCCTCCCCACCACCACCACCACGGCCACCACGGCCACCATCATCATGATCATCATGACTAGTAGAAGAAGAAGAAGAAGGCACAAAAACACCCTCCCTCCCCCTCCCCTGATCCGTCACATACTCCGCACCCGCAGACACCCTCGCCGCAAACACCGGCAACGGCCTCGCCACCCCACCCACCACCCCGCGCAGCCCCACCGTCTCATCCCGCCCGGGCCCAATAACCCCCGCAGAATGCGCCATCGCATTCCCCGTCCCCATCGGCACCAGCGCCACGACGGGCGGCACGAAGACTGGCGCGGTGCCCGGCCCCGCGGCTTCAGCGGCAGACACGGCCGTTAGGCTCTTGATGACCTCTACCAGCCCGCCATCGCCGGCCAGGAGGATGATGGTCTGCGCGATGCCGCGGCGGGCGCGCGGGCGGAAGATGGTCTGGGTGAGATGGGTGATTGTGTGTGGGGAGGTGGTGGGGTGCGGGGTGTAGTCGGTGTGTTCGTGGAGGTGGAGGGTTGCGAGGAGGGGTTTGAGGAGGGCTGTGTAGAAGGCGCTGGCCTGGTGGGTGCCGGAGAGGGTGGAGATGATTATATGGAGGTTATTGGGGTCTGTGGATTCGGGGGCGGTAGTGGTGATATCCGGTGATGATTTGGCGGGGTACAAATGATCAGGGCGAGCCTGCGGACCACTGCCACCGCCGCCGATGAACTCCCGGAGCGCTGCGGGACATTCACCCGCTGCTTCGAATCGTCTCAGTTCATACGGATAAGGATAAGGATGCTCCGACTGGTCCTGCTTATCACGTAGTATTCCAGGCCGATCAGAGTCCGAGTCCGAGTCCGAGTCCTCCAGCCATATATACGACATAAGCCCCTCCTCACCCTCAGCGCACGGGACGACAGCAACGATTCGCTCTCCCTTAACGACATGATGCGTCCTCGTCCTACCCTCCTCATCCCCGGCCGTCGCCCCCGTCATTGTCCATGTCAGGCTATTCGTAGCCGCGTCGTAGGAAACATGGTTGATATCCACGGTGCCGAGAGAGGGGATTGACATATCTGGTAAAGCGCGAGGGGAAAGAGAGGGATGGATGGAAAGGTGAGGAGGATCATGGACCATGGGTGGATGCGGGATGCTTAAGTTAATCGGATTTGTATTTCTATATATATATATATTTATATCCTAGGAATAAATAAGCAATGGGCATGATGGAATTCATTATTAATCCATCTGCAGATATCTAGCTATAAATTAATGTCGAATTACATGGCTAAGCACGCAATGTATGTGCACAATGTACTGTACAAGAATTTACCTCTGCTCAAATACATCATCTTAAAATATATTCACATTATCTGTATAAATACTAATTTTATATTCTGCGATAAACTGATTAGCAAAGAAGATAAGAACAAAAACTCACAAAGCCGCCCATTCAATCCAGTTCCCTCTCTTTTCCTTTCCTTTCATTTCCTTTCATTTTTTTTTTTTTTTTTTTTTGTTGACTCCTGTAATATCGCCCCTCTAAAAGATGCAATTCAGAGTGCCTCCCAACCCATCCACCCATAGCTATATATGTATGTATGTATATATGTATGCAGTGCAATTTAAACCACTCGTCCACCCGTCATGAATTCGTTCCCTCAAGAACACCAGCGGAGAAATATCGTAGACATACATAATAATCAATCAAACCGTAAACGCATAATCATGAAATAAAATAAATAGTGCCTCTCAACACCAACACCTCTCTCCCCCTCCCTCACCACTCACCACTCACCCACTCTCCGCCACTGCAATATCCTCCTCTTTGTCGTTAACATACTTCGCCGCCGCATGCTTATCGCTCAAGTTGACCGCAATAAACGACTTGGGAAGTTTCACACTGCTCATGCGTACCGCATCTAGTTAGTTAACTGATATAATACCCCAACATACATAATCCTCCTCACTCCGTTTTCTAAAAAGATATATAACCGAAAGGAAAATAAAATAAAATAAAAGAGAGAGAGAGATAACTTACGTATCAAACTTCGCCTTCAGCGTCTCGATAACCTCCTTCCAATCCTGATGCGCCGTCAAGCTCCTCCGCGGAGCACACCCAATCGCATGTCGCGAATCCAACTGCACATCCAGCGGATCAAACGTGTGACAACCAGGACTAATAGAGATGCGGATCGAGTACGAGAAAGTCGCCGACTCGCTGTCCTGCGCTTCATACAGCTCGAAGCAGATTTGCGAGAGGTAATCTAATTCGGGGATGGCACGGCGCGCGATCTTCGTCTGAATGCCGCCTTCCAGAATACAATTGAGGAGCGTGTAGATGTGCGATTCCTTGGTGAAGTAGAAGAATGACTTGGCGTCTGGGGACGCTTGGACTTCTTCTAGGTCCATTACTATCTCCCGTAGTAAGGGGAGGGAAGTCAATAGACCGATTTCAAGCTTCTCGCTGTCGTCAATTCCGTATTCTTGCGGGGTTACGAAATCGAAAAGCACCTTCGCGAGTTTGTAGAGTTGGCGAAGCCTTGAGAGTCTTTTGTCGGTTTTGGTCTTTGTCTGGGTGGAACCGGCATAGAGCTTGAAATAAGAATCGTACCAATCTTCCAGCGGACCAATAGGATGCATCGCCGGCAGGTCCAAGACTGACTTCCTTCTAAGCCCGAGACGATGAGCAAGTGTATTGTATTTATCGTCACCCTTCTCACCTGCCCCAGAAGCATCGCCGCCGCCGCCGCCGCTACCCGAATCGTTCGGTCGTTGCTGTTGGGACCTCTGTGACATATTGCTACCAGACTCAACACTCTCCATGCCAGCGGAGTTCATTTTATCGTTGGGAGAGCCTTGACCGTTTTGTTTCCCACCATCTGCCTGAAGCATGCTATCGGGAGGCACAAATACCCAATCCAAGAACTGGCGGTTATGCAAGGCATCGAACTTCATACTATCATACAGCTCAGAAAGTTTACCAGGGTCGACCTTCTCGGTATCACAGAATTCTGCAAACAGCTTCTCCCATCTCTCCTTAAACAGTTGGGGGTCTTCTCCAGCACACCAACGCCCCTGAATAGAACCAAGGGCAGGGGTGTCTTGATTACCGTTTTTGCACTGACCATCCGAACCGCTTCGAGCAGCGGATGTGGAATTCAACTCACTCTCCAGCCGTGCGAAATTGTATCTCATGACTTTCCTATGGAACTTCATAAGTTCAACAACGGTTGACAAGACAATTGACGGTTCAGGAAAGTTTTCCTTTGGCCAGGCAAACTGAGGCGGAGCAGAGTTTCCTTCTCTTAACAGTAGCTTGAGCTTCTTCTTGACCTTGTCCATCTCATCCTTAGCTGCATTTGAATCATCAAGTAGATCCTTTCTCACTTGGATGAAATCTTCAGGTACATCCTTCTGGTCAAGGAACGCGGAGGCGAATATTTGTGCTGTAAGGAGAAAAAAGAGTCGGCAAGAGTTCCCTATAGTGTAAAGATCGGCAGGTCAAAACTTACCACTTGTACTAACCCTCCTTTCCGAACTGGTAAATATCCGGACATCATTCAGCGCCTCCTTATTCATGAGTTTCAAGTCATCCCTCATATTGAGCCCTACGTCCTGCGATTGGTATCGTGCGGCGTGCGTAGGCTCACCGCCCCATTTAATCACCAATTGAAGCTTATCTAGAATCAAATCGTTCTCCACGGCCGAAAAGCGCGAGAATGTGGGGCCGGACATAGAATTACTTCTAATATGGGTCAATGGATGGGTGCCGTCTCCCTCCGCTCCAGTACTTCCTTGAGTTGGCTCTCCTTCATTAGGCTTCTCGGAGACAGGGCTCAGGGCGTTATTAGAGCGGTCCCGGTTCCGCAACTCATCAGCCGTTCGGCGTCTAAACATCGGTTTAATCTGGACTTTTGTCCCCGGCCACCCGCCCTTATGATGAAGTGATGCTTGAAGGAGCTTCAGCTTTTCCATATCCTCGATACCTTCCTTCATCGCAACATTAACAGCATCAGAAACACTGCGTAGCGCTAACTCTCCTTTGATGACAACTTCTTCTTGATGACCCTTCAGGAGGTCAATAAACGGCTGGGTATGGAAAGTGAATTTGAACTTCTGCTTTGGAGTCCGATCAGCATGGCGGATTACAGCGACCATCCCCTTTAACTTCCATGAATGCTTCGAGGCTGGGGGTGGAGCAGCGACAGGTTCCGTCAGAGAAGGATCAGTTGAAGTGGTGTCATCTGCTGATTTCACTTTCACGGCATACTGTCCGTCGCTCATGGCGGGGAAGGCCCCGGGGTGTTTTGAGTCGCTGGAATCCGAAAAGGGAGTCGGGAATGTGGTCGTCGCGGGAGTCAAATCTGCAGAAACACTTGGATGGGCCTTTTGATTGTAATACTGACCCTGCATTCTCGTCATACTGGGAGATTTCAAGAGGGATTTGAGCGTCTGTCTGTGGGAACCGCTAATGTTCTTGCGCGGAGCGGCCATCTCAAGTGGGGGCCCTTCCAAGTGTTCGATCTTCCCTTCCCTGCGCAGTTTCTGGCTGATGAACATCTCGCGCAGGATTTTTGCACATTTATCATAATAATCATTATTATCCTTGACAAAACTCCAGCCGTTGACGTCGATCACATAGGACTTGTCGCCAACGCGGAGCATATCAAAGCCACATATCCTTTGTCCAAAACCGTTGGATATCTTGGTTGCCATCGTAGCCTCTTCCTTGCTTAGCTTGGTTATGTATCTCAGCTCTTTGCCATGGGTGTTCCGGCGGACAAGGCCGTCAACGACGGGGGACTTTCGGGTCTCCGCGTGGCAAAAATCTGGCCCTACCGTATACGCCTTGACATCCTCAGCGTTGTCAACCCTCAAAAACTGCTCGTAAAGGTAACTTCCATCCTTCTCGAGAACAGATCTTGGGACAGTCAGGTTTGGATCGTACTCTGAACTCTTATTACCGATTTTGCGAAAGAGTCGACGGCCACCACCACCGTACTGATGATCGTTGGGGAAATAAATGTGAATATTATGATCCTCCCCACTGACTGGTTTTTCGACAAATGGTTTTTTGAAAACTTTGCCATCAACAATGAGGGTTTCACCGTCTTCGGACATGGACACAGACTGTGTTCTGGGAATACCACCACCAGTTCCGTTATCAGGGCCTTCCAGCTTCACTCCAGTGAGTTCATATAGATGCTTAGCAAGTTTCTGACATTCGAGTTTGGGGCCGCCATCTCTATTGACCTCCAGCCGTTTCGGGGTTCGGACACCCATCTGGTCGAGAATACGAAGGCAAAGACGTCGATCCCAGAGGACCTTTTGCATGGGGAGATCATTGATGCAAAAAGGTTTCCTCAGCTTGGCGTAAGCAATCGCTTTGTCTAGGGGGAAACCATCGGAGAAGAAGGCAATTAAAAAGTCGCTATATAGATATAATATAAATTAGCGTTGCTGGTGTTGATATACCCGCTGTTACACACACAAACACCAAAAAAAAAAAAAAAAAAGTTTCCTACCACACGGGCCAATTCTCCACATCTATAAAAAAAAATATATTAGCATATATTCACATATATCTTCTGTCTTCTGGGAAGGAGGGATGAGAGATGAGAAGTGAAAGAAGAGTAGAACGTACCCTCGTCAAGAATAACCTTATCACCAAACACAATAACCTCAAAATCGCCCTTTGACTGCAGTCTGGTAAGGATATTCTGGCTAGGTTTGCTGCGGGCCTTGACGTCCAAGGCGCACACCCCGATCTTCCCGATGAACGGAACCTTGGCTATTATCAGGGTTGCATTTTCGTCAGCTTGGTTTGTTTCTGTCGCAAATCACATCACTGAAAAGGGGACTTTGGGTTTTATTTTTATTTTTTTATTTTTATTGATTTTCTGTGCAACTTACGATCAGCTTCACTTGCACTGCTTGCTGCCGTGCTCCCGCTGAACCTCCTTGGTGTTCGGCTGGAGGATCTTGCAGGGCGGGACACCCAGTTTGTTGTAGGACGACCATCAGTGCCTGCATCGCTACGGGGTATAGGAGAGGCTGTTTGGGATTGAGACACAGCTAGTTACGATTAGCAGGGATTCACACAGACTAGATTGGAGGAGGGGAGGAGGAGGGAATGGAACACAGGGGATTCGTACCTACTGCTCCCGGCCCGGGCGAGGGGGCTGTAGTGGGAGAATTGATGATAGAATCTCCTACCGGCGCTGTGTCCACGCCATTACCCAGACCCAGGAGGCCAGAGGAATTCCTAACAGCGGCGCCCTCCATGCCGCCT